TACGCTTTCTGCCCAGATTAGGTTAGGACGAATGCACAGAAATATTTTGATTCCACAATGTAACTGTAGGCCATTAGACTAGAGACGTGCATAGGCAGTAAGTGAACCACCCAAGACCTCGGTTTTAATTGCGATGGCTTTACTGAGCTTCTCTCAACAAATGGGGAGGAGGCAGCGCCCCCCGACGGCGGGGCGGGCGCGAGGCCCCGCGGGGGGCGGTCCCGACGCGGCCAGGCTTGGCTTTTGCGAGCGTGGACCTCGGTGCTGAGGCCCAGTCTTCCCGCGCCCTGGTGTCCGGGAGGTGAAATCCCCTCTCCAAAGCCCCAGGCTGCCCTGTGACGCGTCTCATCGTTCCGGAAGCTCCTTCTCAAACGTCCGCTGCTGCAGTTTGAGTGGTCAGCTTGCTGATTAAGTTAGGCCGCGCGGACTCTGTCTCCGCTCTTAGCGCGCTGGCTGGCTGGCTGGGAGGTCAGGTGCGCAGTGTGAATGTGAGCCAACGAATGCAGGTGCGCACTGGCAGACCCTCCCTCTGGAGGGTCCACTGCGGCTGCCCCCCATCCGAGATGGCCCAGTGGGGGAAGTCACAGGATGCCCCTGCACCGTGGCCGCCCCGCCTGCTTCCCGAAGCCTGAGCACTCCATCATCTCTCTGCCTCCAGGGCTCCTGTCCAAGAATTGCTATCAAACCAAAACTGCCTGACCTGCTTGCCTCCGCTCCTTCCAGGGACAGCAGGAGTCCCCGTGACCCGCCTCCCCCGCCCCCTTTATTTGAACCTCTCTTCCTGCAACCGCAGGCACTGCCACAAGCCGGCCCAGAGCCCCAGGGTAGGCACACAATTGAGACAGGACTTCCTTGCGGGATAAACGCGAGGGAGGGGCGCATGGGATGCTGCCAACTGACTGCTGCCCGTGTGGCTGCTCAGCAATGGTCAAGTCTCTGGATGAGTTCGAAAGATTGTGGGTCCTCCTCTCCACTCCTCATTAGCCAGTGGGCAGTACCGCATGCTGGCCAACATCCGCTTGTTAGCTAGAGGACGTGGAAACAGCCACACAAGCTGCTCTTGTAGGTTGCGGGCAGGGAATCCCACACACGAAAGTGTTCATACAGACAGGCCAGCCTTCCAGCTGGGCAGTGGGGTCATGCCCCCCCCCGCACCGGGAGTGGACATCACACAGCCAGCAGGCCCGAGACCTCCAGCACAACACCGAGGTGCGAGATGGAAGGGGCTTGGCCTGTTCACTCTTGCTAACCAGCTGCCGTGGCTGTCTCTGGAGCATGGACCCTGGTACCTCGGGCCAGCAAACCACCTGAAGTGTGCAGATAACATGTATACTGTTAGACTGAGGTTTTTAAAAAGTGAATCACGGGGCTGGCCTTGTGGCACAGTGGGTTGAACTGCTGCGTCCCACACCAGCATCCCACATGAACTCCAGTTCCAGTCCCAGCTGCTCCACTGCCCATCCAGCTCCCTGCTAATGTGCCTGGGAAAGCGGCAGAAGATGGCCTCCTGCCACCCATGTGAAGACCTGGATAGAGTTCCGGGCTCCTGGCTTCAGTCTGGCCCAGCTCTGGCCATTGTAGCCATTTGGGGAGAAAGCCAGCAGATGGGAGATCTCTGTCTCTCCACCTCTCTCTCTCTCTCCCTCTCTCTCTGCCTTTCAAATGAATACATAAATAAAATCTTTTTTTAAAAAATAGCTGGGGCCAGTGTCCTGGTCTAGCTGGTAAAGCTGATGCCTGTGAGGCCGGGATCCCATAAGGGCACCAGTTCATGTCCCAGCTGCTCCACTTCCGATCCAGCTCCCTGCTATTGGCCTGGGAAAACAGCGGAGGATGGCCAAGTCCTTGGACCCCTGCAGCCACGTGGGAGACCTTCTGATGAAACTCCTGGCTCCTGGCTTCTGCCTGCCCCAGACCTGGCTGTTTGCCATTTGGGAAGTGAGCCAGCAGATGGAAAATTGACCTCTCTCTCCCTCCCTCTTTGTAACTCTGACTTTAAAAATAAATAAATCTTTAAAAAAAATAAAATGAATCACCAGTCAGTCACGATAGCAGACATCCACGAAGCTCAGTGAAGAAGAAAGGGCCAGGAATTTAGCTGAGGTCAGGTTAACCAGGTCTCCTTAGGCACCGACCTCTCTCCAGCAGGAAGGGGAGGGCCGGGATCTGCCCACATATTCTCCAAGTACAAAAGCAGGAATCTGATTTTTAAATGTGTCTTCATTGCTGCCGGAATCCTCAGCGCTGCAATTTTTGTCAGCCCCACCAGAGAGCAACCTTCCTGCACGGACGCTCCTACTTGGCAAAGCAGTGGTCTCATCTCCTACGTGCCTGACTCCCACCAAGCCTGAGCAGAACCAACGCGCGAGGCTTGCATGACCCATAGAATTCCCCACAGTCTGCAAAAGTGCCCCCTCCAGAGGTCTTCTTCTTTTTTTTAAAGCAAAGTGCTGAGTCACCAAAGAGAGGCTCTGGAATTGGGGCTGGGGGCGCTCTTTGATGTCTGGCTCTGAAGCTGACACCTGTGCTTCTGAGCTCACCCTCAGTCCAAAGCAGCCCCATCAGGTTCTGGGATGGCAGAGCTCTCACTGGACTGAGACAACTGCAGGAAGTGGCCCCTGTCCTTCCCCTGCCTAGGGAGGGGTCGACTTTGTAGGCGCTCGATTCAGGGGTCTGACCAAGGCTCCCAGCCAGGCTAAGGCAGGGAGCTGAGGCCTTCCCAGTTTCCACTGGGGCACTGGCACCCCCGCCTCGGGGTCAGGGGCCTGTTGATAGTTGACACATCAGATTAATGAGAGACATCACAGCCACACACACCGCTGTGGGGCCAGCGCTGCGGGGCCAGGCTCGCAATAGAGGGGTCTGAAATCAATGTTTTCCTACTATAACTAAGGCAGCCAGTCAACACTTAAAGATCAAGTTCTGTTTGCTCGTGCCCAGCCCTGCTAGATTCTAAACCCCACGCACAGATCAGCTCATCCCCAGCATCTGTCCCAGAACCCACGCTCGACAGGTAGAGACAGAACCCACACTCGACAGGTAGAGACAGGAAAAATGCTCCAGTGCTGTAGAGGCACCCCCTCTCTGACCACGGCTGTGCACCTCCCTCGCCCAAGTGCAGATTCCAGAACTGATGTGTCCCAGGCCCGTCCTAGAAATACAGACAAGCCGTTCCAAACACCTGTGCTGTCTTCATCTGGAGCGGATCTGTGAAGGTTTCTGTGTGTTAGGCATCATCTTCTGAATTCATTTAAAAAAAAAAAGATTTATTTATTTGAAAGGCAGAGATATATAGAGAGGGAGATAGAGAGAACGCGCCATCTTCCATGCACTGGTTCACATCCTAGATGGCTACAACATCAAGGGCTGGGTCAGGCCAAAGGCAGGAGCCAGGAGTTTTATCCAGGTCTCCAAGGTGGTGGCGGGGGCCCAAGCACATGGTGTCATCTGTTGCTGCTTTTCCCAGGCCATTAGCAGAGAGCTGGATTGGAAGTGGAGCAGCCGGGACTCAAAGTGGTGCCACGTGGGATGCCAGTGCCACAGGCAGAGGCTTAACCTTATTATGCCACAGCACTGGCCCCCATTCTTTTTTTTTTTTTTTTTTAATTACTAAACCTGATATGAACTGCACAGCATTATGTAAGACACTGCTGGGGAAATGGGTATGTGCACAAAATAAAGATACTTCCCTTTAAATATGATGTGAGGAAAAATAAATAAATAAATATGATGAGTGTGTATCACATGTAGACATGTATGAGAAAATGTCAAAAAGTTCATGGAAAATGGAATTGAAAGATAAGCTTACTTTGGTACAAAAAAATAAAGAAATGCATGCATTTTTTTTCATAATACACATTTCCTGTGCATTTTTGAAGACCCCACTTAGGCACAGGTTTTGAAATCATATATACAAGGGCTGACACTGGAGTAGCGGGTAAAGCTGCTGCCCGTAGTGCCAGCATCTCATATGGGCAACTGTTCAAATCCCAGCTGCTCCACTTCCGATCCAGCTCTCTGCTTTGGCCTGGGAAAGCAGTGGAGGATGGCCCAAGTCCTTGGGCACCTGCACCTGTGTGGGGAGACCTGGAGGAAGCTCCTGGCTCCTGGCTTTGAATTCGACCAGCTCTAGTTACAGCAGCCATTTGGGGAGTGAGCAGGTGGATGTGGGCCAGGGAGTGAGCCAGACCTCTTTTCCTCTCTCCATCTGCCTTTCAAATAAATAAATAAATCTTTTTTAAAAAAAATACTGCTTCCTTAGAAAAAAAAAAAGAAATCATATATACGTGTGTGTGTGTGTGTGTATGTGTGATGCAAGAGACAAGGAAAGGAAAACCCACCGAACAAGCAAGTACATCCCACCACTCATACATAAAAATCCTTTATTGTTGAGGGATAGAGACAGATGTCCTAGTTTCAACATAAGACACCAGAGAATCTGCTGGGGACTCCACAGGCAAAACTTGCTGGGACCGGGGACGTTGACTGTTGTTCAGGGGCAGGGACGGGCAACAGTGAAAGCACAAGGCTGTCCCCAGGACGGGGACAAGAGAGGGAAACCGGAAAGCATGCACCTGGGAGCTGGGACAGGGAGACGGGGTCTTCACGGTGCAGCCTGGGGGTCCAGAAGTGGAATGCTAAGGACTGAAAGAAAAAAAAAAAAAAAAGCCTGGAGAACCAAGGTCATCATATTTTACATCCTTTGAAACCACCACTGAGCATGCTCCGTGGTCTTGACCTCAGTGTTGCCCGCAGCCTCTGACCTGGAGGACTGACCTCTCTCAGCAGCAGGTGCGTGACCCTCCCCTCTGCTGTGTTCCCACACACGCTATTGCGTGCATGGTCTGCGGGGCCCAGGCGGGAAGAGGCAGTGACCCAGTTCCAAGCACCCCAGCACCCCCATGAGCCAGACACATGGCCCCAGCCGAGGCACGTGGGTGCTAATGCTCCCCCAGCCTCGCTCAGCCTCGCCCCACGTCTTCCTAGAAACCTCTCCGAGCGAGGAGTGGCCCGGGAGCATCTCCTTGTGCAGCAGATTCACGTGAATGAAATAAGATGACACGGGGATCAGCGTTAGTCTGTCTCCTCTGATCTCCTTTGAATGCCAGCCCGGGGACCTGCTGTCCTATTGTCCCGGACGCCCAGCAGGTGGAGAATGCCCCGTCAGAGGTGAGGTTCTGAAGCCTGCAATTATCGACTTGGGCCCTCAGAAAGAGTCTGGATTTTCCAGCAAGCATTAAAAGTAGATTTCCACAATGCACTCGTTTTTTTTGCCATTTGTATAAAATACTATAGCAAAATTGCACTGTAATTATCTTTATGGTTGGTGCATAAGGCTGGAGGAGAGTGTGTCATCCAGATATAGCTGCCCGTGTAATTATCTGGCCGTCGGCAGGACTGAAATAACCATCTAATGAGAGCAAAATGATACAGTGCGTACCATGCAATCAGCGAGTTACAGTTATTACGGCTCGCTGTGCCCTCTCGCCCCACACTAAATGGGGGGACAGACCCCGTCCCCGGTCCCAGGGAGTCTCGCACGGGCGGTATCACCAAGAGGCACTCCCTTGAGACCCATGAGTGTGGGTAGCAGGGACACAGGAAAGAGGCAGAAGTCTCTGAGTGCCAAGGCTCCCCAACCCATCCTTGTCTCCTCCGCCACCCCCACCTCATCTCCTCGGAAGCCAGGGAGAAGAGAGTCGCCGCCGGAGCTCCTCTTGCTGTGTGGGAAGAGGGTGTCAAGGCGGAAAGCTCCGTGTTTTGACTAGACACTTCCCGGGGGACTGTCACACTGGCACGGCAGGGAGGCCTCCGTCAGCCCACCCAGGCCTGAGGGCCAGCCCACGCGGCTCTCTCAGCAAGCAGGCGGAGGGGGGGCACTGCGACCCCACCCCCACCCCTCCCAGGCTGCAAGAGCGCTGTGCCCCAGGCACTGTTCTGAACTCGCAGCCCCACTGGGCGCCGTCATCACGCCCAGTTCTCACACAAGGGCTATGCAACGTGGCCAACGGGACACAGCTGGAGTCAAACTCAGGTCATGCTTCTATCCATGACTCTCTACAGACAGGGGAAGACAAGGGTCCCGGCTGCCCCCCATTAGGATTCAGAGTTCCTTGCATTTCTTCCCACATTGCCCTCATGTGTGTGACTACACCCTAGGCCTGGTAGCCTGGGGTCTGGAATGATCTGGAAGGATCAGGCTGCCTGGGAGGCAGACGGTTCACCTGTGCATCTGGTGTGGTACCATCTGATGTAGATAACCCTCTCTCCCTAATTTGCACGGATCCCAGGAGATGGGAGCTGGAACCGCAGAAGCTGCCTATCCGAGAACCCCCAGCGGAAGCCCCGCTGCAACCCCCAGCCCCTTTGCTCACCCCTCTAGATATAGTCAGTTTGCAGCCATGACTCTGGGGAGGGTGGTGACAAAAGGGGCAGTCACGCTGGCCTCTAAGTGTCTCTGTGCTCGACCCACAGCGCGCTAGGTGCTGAGGGCAAGTTTATGAGCACGAATGTATGTACACATCAGAGGAAATGCAGAACCGGCCACCTTCCCCCAGCACCCGCACAGCCCCCTCTCCGCTCCCCAGCCAGCAGCCCTTACCTCATTCGGCCCTGGGGAGATACTTGAATGCTTCAAAGCTGGACATTTTCTCTTCATCCACATCAGCAGGAGGAGCTGGGGTGAGGCAGACAGAGGAAGTAGGAGGCGTTTTTTCTGAATGTCACCTTGACCTTGACCCAACAGCAAAGAGCGGGCCAAGGGCGCGGGGCGGGGGCGAATGGGGAGGAAGCAGAGCCTCCAACCCTCCCTGGGGGCCACAGGAGGACTATCTTGTACGGACCCTGACTCTGCATCCAGGGAGGGCTTGACTCTGGGGAGGGGGCCAGGGGACGCCCCCTACCTGGTTGGCTGTTCCTCTTGCCCATGAGTCCCACGAAGAAGTCATGCATGTCTCCTGCGGAGGAGGCCCATGTCGTCCACAGCCCCAGGGGGTGATGGGGGGAGGCATCTCCCCAGACATGAGTCCCTCTGTCTCACCCACTCTGAATCCCCACGGCGAGCAAGCAGGTCCTCTAAGCCCACCCTTCTCCCCCTCCTCCGGATTTCAAGAATTCTCTGCCCTCCACAAGCGCCTGGCACAGACTCCTCAAGGCCACCAGGTTCCCAGTGAGCAGCCGGCGGTGGCAGCTGCAGGGGAGGGGGGAGTCCATCACGGCCCTCACACCTGCTTCCTCCCGCCTCCTCCTGGGCCGCTGAGTGCTGCTGCTGGCATATTGTCTGTGCCAGCGGGCGTGGGGCTGGCCAAGATGACTCCTGGGCCCTGTGCCTAGGGTGCTCTGGGAAAGTGGTCAGCAGAGACAAGGCAGAGAGAAGGGGCTACTCACGTTTCTGGGGAAGTGATGCTGCCTTGGGATCTGTGAAACGGAGAACAGGTGTGTGGGTGGGGGGGCTGACCCTGGAAAGTGATGATGAGTAGGGCGGGGCGGGGCGGGGCAGGGGAGTGCAGGTCACAACCCTCACCTCTGCCCTAACCCATCAGCCATCTCCCTCCCGCCTCGGCAGGGACGTCTTCCCAGCCCAATCCTGCCCCCAGCCCCACTCTCCCCAGGGCTGCTCCCTACCCACGCTAGCCTTGCTCAGCACTTTGAGCAGCTCCTCCAGCGAGAATGGGCGGCGGCTGCTGTCCTGGAGTCTCCGCAGCACCGAGGGAGGCTGCTGCTGCAGGTCCACGTCCTTGCCGGGGAAGAAACAAAGAAGGCAGAGGCAGGAGGATCCCACCCGACCCTCCAGCCGCTGGCTCCTTTCCCACAAGAGCCAGCCCCTTCCTGAGCCCACGACAGCGGAATCCGACAACCTGCTTCTGTGAGGGTTTCCTCCACGCTGCACTGGCAGAGAAGTGCACGCTCGGGGCAGCAGGGCGCTGTGCAGCACCAGCAGGCCATGGAGCTGGTTCCTGCCCCGGCTGCCGTGGGATGTGCACTTTAGCCAGCCACCCCAGGGGAAAGACCTACCCAAGTTTGAGAAGCCCTGGGAGGGAACACACTGGGCGTCCTGACAGCTGGCCCGGGACTAAGGGCTGCTGGGATGCAGGGCTTTCAGTGCCCAAACTGGGACAGTCGATCATGCTACCCCCCACCCAAAGCTCATGGGGACTGACCCTTGGGACCCCATCCCAGCTTCTGCCTCCCCTCTGCCCCCCCCCCCCGAAAGGCCCATCAGAAAGAGCAGGTGTGTTCTGCTCTGTGCTCCTTGGCTGAGACACAGACGGGACTCAGTCCTGGGGACAGGTGGCACTAGGTGGCCAGGGCACACCTGCAAGCCAGAGACCGCCAGACTTCGTGGAGGTCCCAGGGTGTGCGAGGTCCCAGGGTGTTTCGCTTGCTCCCTGCTGTCCCACAGCCTCACACTCTCTTCTGCCTCTGTTTTTCTCTCCCCTCCCCTTTCTACCCTGGATCTAGAATTTCAAAAACATGATCAGGATGGCACCCTACCTCCCTGCCCCCTGGGGGTGGGGGTCTTTCTTGTTCTCTGCAGGATTTACAACATCCAGCTGGAGATTCTCACCTCAGAGCTCACAGGGCTCCCGTTTCTCTCTCTCTCTCTCTCCCTCCCTCCCTCCCTCCCTCCCCAGAGCCCAGGTATCCTGGGGCTGCTGTGCAGGCAGAGGGGTGCATTTACCTGTGATGCACCCCCTCGGGTGCCTGGGCACACCTGCGTCCTACTGTCTCCCTGCCCCAGTTTCCCTCTTCCCCACAGACTCCAGGGAAACAGGGGTGGGGGGGGGTAAGAGGACAAGCCCTCTCTGTCAGGCCCAGGAAGGGCCAGAGATCCCATAGCAAAGGCATCTCAGAGAAGCCCGAATACTCTGACTCTGCCGGCTGGAACTCTGTGGCTCCCAACACGGCCCCGCAGCCCATCCTGGGGTCCCTGTGTGGTTTTGGGAATGGGTCTGGTCTTTGGGACCTGGCACAACCGGAGACACCTGCAAGGCTGCTCTGGCCATCTCTCTCTCTCGGCCCAGCGCTCAGCTGCCCAGGCAGCCGCCTTGCCTAGATCGTTCTGCTGCTCGGCCCGCCGCCTGTAATGAGATGCTAAGCAGATCCGAGCTGCAGAGGCTGTTCGGCTGCACACACTGAATTGGTGATGAGTCCCACCTGTAATCATCTTAAAAGCATTTGTGCCGAGGTAATTGCTGTCATTTCGAAACCCTGAAAAGACTTCCTCCCTGCCCTCAGCCTGACAGATCCTATTCTTTTTCTTGGAGGAACTTTGGTGGGCACAAACCTGGCTCTTGGATTTTGGCTTTTGTTTGTTTCCCCACCCTGACTGAGCAGAGGCCAGAGGCGGGCAGGGAAGGGCAGGGGTTGGGATCTTAGAAGTGGGAGAGGCATGAACAGAGGACACAGGAATTTGTCTGCAGTTAGGAAATAATATACTCAAGTCATGGGCAAAGCAGCAGACCAATGTCAGCTTGCGAGGGAAAAGCTGACTGCTTCATCTGGGCGTGGAGGGGATCTGTGCCCTGCACAAAGGGACCGAGCCCCAGCAGAGGCCTCAGGAAGTCGAGGTCACAGCCCCCCCCCTCCCCCGCCCGCCATGGTCCCACCCAGCCACCCAGTCACCAGCCATATTCTCAGAGCCCCTTTCCTGTGCCAGGGCTCAAGGCCGCACAGAGACAGTGACGCCCTCAGACAACCCCAGACAGCGAGATCCCGGGGGGACGCAGATGTCCTGTGTTGCAGAACTCACGCACGCAACTTGAAGCCCCGCCCACCTGTGCCCTCCCCGCTGCTCTCCAGACAGGCCGAGCCCCGGGTGCCCAGGACTTTCCCGGACTCTGCCAGGGGGCACCTTACCTTGCTGCGGTCCCCGCCGGGCACCACCTGCTCCCGCGACTCCTCGCAGACAGCCCCGAAGCTCCCAGCCAGGCTGAGGGCCAGGGTGGCTGCCAGTAGTAGGGTGCGCCTCATGGTGCCTGCCGGGGCAGAGCGACAGGACCCAGGTGAGGGGCACAGAGGAAGAGGATGGCGTGGGAGCGAAAGCCAGGAGCACCAAGAGCAGCAGCCTGGCTTGAGCCTGCTCCCCAGCCGCCAACTCTCACACCCAAGCCCTGGTCAGGGGAGAGAGTAGAAAGGATCTCTGAGCAGGGGCTGCCACTCGGGGGCCATCAGTCATCTTCCAGGATGTTCCCTGGCCACGCTTGGATGCCTCCTCTGAGGAGGATACATGGATAGCACACACACTGGTCTGTTTCCTCCATCGGCTTAGGGGGGATCCCGGACACTCTCCTCCGGCACTGGATAAACCGAGATGCAGGCGACAACTTTCTGGCATGGAAAACCCAGCCTCTGCACTCCCAGGCTCCACGCATTCACAAGCTCTTTGCCCTATAGGCACTTTTCCGTTCATTGGCCCCATGCTGCCGTCCCTCTCTTCCCTCCTGACTTTGGCTCCTGTCCTTCCCACCTTCTGCCGCTCGTGCCTACCTGTGGAGCCGCTCCGAGCCTGGGGCCCGGCAGAGAGTCTGGCAGGAGCAGGGAGCCGGCTGGGAGCACTGCCTGCTCCCCACACCCGCGGCTGCCGCTGCAGCGAAGAAAGCAGCAGAGTGGAGGAGATCTGGGAAGGTGGCAGGAACTCCGTCCCAGCTCCCTGATAAAGGCTGGGAGGGTCTGGGGGAGCCGAGGGGAGGGGCTGAGAGTCACCAATCCCAGGGTGGCTGGGGGCTGGTGGGGGGGAGGTTGGAGAAAGGAAAGGAGGCTGAAGACAGCAGAGACACGCGCACTCACACACACTCACACACACACACACGACTGAAGGTATCCAGGACACACACACACACAGAGCTGAAGGTATCCAGGACACACACACACACACATATGGCTGAAGGTATCCAGGAGCCCACTTGCTGGCCACACCTGAGCTGGGCTTAAAGCATGCAGTTGATTAGGCTTGGTCACACGCAGCCCTAGCTGAGCAGCGTAGATCCTCGGCCTCCTCATTCACCTATCAGCTCCCAGCTCTTGAAACCTCTGAGCCTGACTGCCAGGCTAGAACAGGTTCAAGCTGGGGCCTCTCCACCCCTGCCCCACCAGGAGGACTTGGAGGTGGGGGAGCCCAATATCTGCCCCAGGCCTCATTTTCGCCTCCTGCAGCTGCTGTATCACATTGCTGTCCCCTGCTGTTAGATCCAGAATCCTCCAGGACCTATCCCCCTACCTGCCCCCACCCCCACCTCACCAGTGCTGGTGCCCGCCCGTCCCCTGGGCCCCCATGGGCTCCTTCCTGACCCCAGCCAGCCCGAGTCTGTTGCAGCCTCTCTACTTCTAACTTCCATCCCTCCTGCTGTCATCAGAAGGGGAACAGAACCAAAGTTGGGCTGTCCCCTCCCCATCTCAAGCCCCATGCCAGCATGGATCTCTTAGTCTGATGTTACATGCCTGTTCCACACCCAGAGGAGGGCCAGAGACAGATCGAGGGGTGGTTGTGGGGTGTGGATGCCTGCAAGGTGCTTGGGCTTGGAGGGATCCACTCAGTGTCAATGCTACCGCCCTGTAAGATGGCAATATTCCTGGGTTTCAGTTGAGGGAACGGGAGTCTGGGAAGTCCAGTCGTCTGCCCCAGCACACACGGTGAATCACCCCAGGGAGAAGCACCGCGAAGCCATGGCTCGCTCTCCCTCCCCTCCTCCCTCCCTCCTGCTCTTTTGACTGCTCTGCCTGAATAGTAGCTTATGAAAGAACAGTTCGCTCCCCTGGGAGAGTGGGCAGCCCAGCTGCCAAGAGACTTTTGGGATCTTCTGCTGGTCCATCGCCAGGAATGGGCAAGAACCAGCAGATGGAGGATCTCTCCCTCTCTCCAACTCTGCCTTTCGAATAAGTAAATCTTTAAAAACAAAATAACTCCATATGGGGCCGGCGTTGTTGTGCGGCAGGTTAAGCCACCACTTGTGACATGGGCATCTCATATCAAAGTGCAAGTTCAAGTCCCCAGTACTCCACTTCCAATCCAGCCCCCTGCTAATGTGCCTGGGGGAAGCACCGGAAGCTGGCCCACACCCCTGAGACCCAGAAGAAGCTCCCGGCTTTGGACTGGCCTAGCCGCGGCTGTTGTGGCCATTTGGGGAATAAACTGATGAGAGCGTTCTCTCTCTTTCTCTGTCTCTCCTTCTGCCTTTCAACTACAATAAACCTTTTTTGTTAAAAAAAAAAATGCTTCATTTATCCCCCGTTTTTGGTCTTCTGGCATGTATTACACCCAACATGCCCGTTTGCTTTGCTGACTGTCTCTCTCCCACACACCCAACTAGAGCGTAAGTGTGTGGAGGCTGCAAGGGCAAGGATTTGCTTGTGTCCATCACATGCTGGTGCATCCCTCGCCCTGCACAGGCTGGCGTGTAATAGGTGCTCAATGAAAATCTATTTGTAAAGCAAAGAAAACAAAGCCACACTTCTACATCATGGGCCAAAACGTGAATCCTCCATGGAGTCTCTCAAGTGTCGCTGGCGGCCCCACCCCACCCTGGGACCTGGGCCACCCTGACAGAAACCACCTTGGCTGCAGAGGGCCCAGTGTTCGCCTCTGAGTGAGGGCAGCAGCTGGGGCTCAAGGCCTCTTTATTGTGGGACAGGCTAATGGGGCCTCATTAAAAGCTTCTCATTACCCAGCTAATTACAGGACTGTGGGGCAGAGGACGCCGGCCAGCCTTTGGCGGGATGAGGAACCAAATGGAAGGCTGTTTACATGCAAATGCCGTGACTGGTTCAGTCCTCCGAGAAGCTCTTCTGAATTGGACCCAGCCACCACCCTCCTCCTGTTCTGCCTCACCCACCTGGAGGCGCAGGCAGGCCTGCACCACGCAGGCCGGGGGCAGATGGGTGTACAGGGGGAGCAGGTGGCAGACCAAAAGCTGGAGACCGACAGCCACCTGGGTCTGATCTGGGTGCCAGGCCCCTCCCCAAACCGCTCCTCCCTCCCCGCCCCCAAGCCCTGGGCCAGGGAAGCTGGCCTCAGCAAAGGTCCCCCATGAATAATGTCCTTTGATGATGCAGCATCTTGGCGGGGGCTCAGGGTGGGGGTAGGGCAAGGGGAAGGCAGGGAGCACTGATCACCCCTTGATCTCTGAGATTAGCAAAGACTTGAAAGAGCTCAGTGTAAGCTAAGTTAGAGAGGTGAGGAAGGAGGGGGTGTCGCCGCCCCCCCCCCCCCCCAGCCACAGGCTGTATGCAAATAGCATGTAAAGTGGTGTTGCAGCAGGCAGGCTGGTGGCCAGTAGAGCACCTCCTGGGGCCTGAGCTGCTCACACACAGCTCCTGTCACAGGGCTCCCCAGCAGCCCCCCTCCCTGCAGCTCCCCCACTCTTGGTGACCAGGGGGGCTTGAAGGTGAGGCCTGAAGAGGTGTTGACAGGAGATAGGGGCTAGAGGTGCGTCTAGCTCCGGCCGGTGCTGGTGCACATGACATGACCCGAATGTGTCCATCTGGGCACAACTGGTGGACTCCCCAACATCCTGTAGGGCTGGGGCGGGAGGCTGGGCCAGGGCGCTGTGGGACACTGGGTGGAGACTGCAGTGAGGAACAGAAGGATGGCAGTGTCTGTCCTGCAGCCAGGACACATCTGGGGACAACCCATAGAGCAGACATTAAGAAGAGCCACCGTCTGGGCACCATGATCCCACATGGGCACTGGTTTGAGTCCTGGCTGTGCTGCTTCCAATCCAGCTTCCTGCTAATAGCCTGGGAAAGCAGCAGAGAATGGCCAAGTGCTTGGGCCCCTGCACCCATGTGGGAGACCCAGAAGAAGCTCCTGGCTCCTGGCTTCATCCTGGCCCAGCCCTGGCCATTGCAGCCATTTGGGGAGTGAACCAATAGATGGAAGACTTCTCTGTCTCTCCTTCTCTGTAACTCTGTCTTTCAAATAAATAAATAAATCTTTTTTTAAAATTTTTATTTATTTATTTTTGACAGGCAGAGTAGACAGTGAGAGAGAGAGAAAGGTCTTCTTTTGCCGTTGGTTCACCCTCCAATGGCCGCCGCGGCTGGCGCTGCGGCTGGCACACCACGCTGATCTGAAGCCAGGAGCCGGGTGCTTCTCCTGGTCTCCCATGGGGTCCAGGGCCCAAGTACTTGGGCCATCCTCCACTGCACTCCCGGGCCACAGCAGAGAGCTGGCCTGGAAGAGGGGCAACCGGGACAGAATCCGGCGCCCTGACCGGGACTAGAACCCGGCGTGCCGGCGCCGCAAGGCGGAGGATTAGCCTAGTGAGCCGCGGCGCCGGCCAATAAATAAATCTTAAAAAAGAAAAGAAAGACCTTCAGAGCCAGAGCTGGTCAAGCTGTGAGCTGCTGGGGTGGTGCCTCACCGGATGAGGGGACTCGGGGACGGCTGTGCCCCTCTGGCACTGAAACAACCGAGGGGCTGGCGGAGGGGGCAGGCTGGGGAGGAGGAGACTGGAGCCAGTTCAAGCTTGTAGCACAGAACGGGAAACGGGGTCCCTGTGGGCTTCAGGGGGTAAAAACTCTGAACTAGGGAAGGGAAGGGAGGAAAGGGAAAGAGGAAGGGAGTGTGGGAGGGCAGAGGAGAAAGAGAGGGGCCCCCACCTTCCTAGAACTAGCACCCCTCTACAGGGTTGATGTGGGAGGCCAGGAACCCTGGCCGCCTCCCGCCCCCGCCGTGGAGAGCTGCCAGTGCCTTCAGCCCCGGGGAAAGGAAAAGCAGGTTGGGGAGCAGCAGCTGCATTTTCTGCTGAAATTGCTTCTGAAATGACCAGACACTTCACTGGGAAAGTGACGACAATTTGGGCCCTGGGAGCAGGAGATGAGGCAGAGAGCGGGGGCGACGGGCTCGGGTCACCACCTCCCTCTCGGCCAGACAGGATCTTCTCGGCCTGCTTCTGAGAGGTCAGGGATGCAGGGAGCGGTCCTGGGTGCGAGAGGCCAGCCGGAGCCTGAGCGGCCGTGCTCGGGCCACAGAGCCCACAGGACGGGCTCCAGCCCTCACCCCAGAGCACGGGCGTGTGGAAGCCTGGGCTTGCTCTCAGATAGCAAGATTAATCCGCAGGCAGGAAGAGAAGTTAATCAGGTCTCCCCAGCCACAGTGATTACCTGGGGCCGTGAGCTGCCTGCAGATGCAAGGTGCAGGGAGACCCCAGCCTCAAGGCACGGTGAGCTCAGGGGAGGAGGCAGGGAGGAGGCTGGGAAGGAGGGAGAGCCGGCCAGAGCCAGGAACAAAGGCAGCCCCGGGGTGGGCTCTCGCAGAGCTCACTGTGAATGTGTGAGCAGTGTGCTCCCCAAAGGTGGCCTGGATGGTGAGAAGCCGACACAAGACAGTGGTTGTGAGGGCACAGGGATGCAGGGCAATGGAAGAACATAGAAAGCATTACACAAATATCACGGACATAATAGCACAAAATATCACGGATGAGCGTCAGCGCCCACAGACACGGGGACAGTGAGATGGTGAGGGACAGCGAATGAGATAATGACAATGACACAGGGAAAATACACGAGGCTGAGAGAAAGGAATCGAGTCCCAGGGACAGGAGAGTCTGGGTGGGGGACCTTCCCCAGCTACGCCCCCAGAAGACGGCCACAGGCTTCTCAGGTGCATGGAAAGGAAGGGGTACCAGGGAGGCAGGAGCGACACTGCCCGGTGCTCACAGGGTGCTGCAGGTCGTAGAGCTCCTGGGTACGGGGGACCCCGCATTCCCCAGCTCCCCCAGCTTACCTGAGCCCCCCAGCCTCCAGCGTCTTTGCAGGCTCACTTCTTCCCTCCAGGGACACACTTAATGAACCAGCCCGGTGGCCACCTGCGACCTAAGCCCCAGGCCCAGCTTCCCCACCCCCACCCCAGCCTCTCCAAACCCCACCCGAGAGCTCAGCCGGTTGAGGAGCCTGGGGAAAATTTCCCTGCTTTTCCACTCTTATTACCTCCAGGAGCGGGAGCCCTGGGAGGGCAAGGGCTGTCGGGGACCCAGCCACTCGGACCCAGCCTTTTGGAAGTCACATGTTTTATTAGTGGGTGAAGGAAGCTGCCTTGGGCAGGGTTCAGGGAAAGAAAGGACCTCCTTTGGGGCTCTTTCATCTCCAAGCCCCACTGCCCATAGAGGGGTTCCACATCAGCCCCCTGGACACAGGGGTCCCTCCCCCGCCAGGGGAGGCGCTGATCCGGGTCCCTGCGGGAGGCGCTCACTGCACAGTCACCTCCAGGCAGTTACCCCCCTTCTTCTTGAAGCTCAGCTTGTTGTTCTCACCATCCCCAGGGCCCTGGGTGACCTTCACAGCCACAGAGCTCTCCTTGAATCTCACTGAGAAGCTGGAGCGGAACAGACAGAGAAGCCAGAGCTAGTGCCCCCGGTCCCACCCCCACTCCCCTTCCCGAGGCAAAGGCACGAGCCCCCAGCCCCGGCTAGCGACTCCCTCCCAGCGGGGGACTAGGAAACCCCTCGGAGCCCGGCCCTGATGAGCGAACACTGCACTCTGCCGGCTCAGGTCTCCCCGGTCACAATGACCAGCAGTCCGGTCACCCCTCGCCCCAGCACGCGGCCTTACTTCTCAGTCACGGTGACTGGGAGCTGGCTCCGCGTGGCATTCAGCACAGCCAGGTACAGTTTTGTCAGCAATTCAATCACGTGGTTGCTGACTAGCAGCAGGTCCCCCTTGGAGCCCACAGGTGACGTCTTAGGAAGAGGGAAGAAGAGCAGGGAAGGGGTTCACTTTGTCCTCGGGAGCAGCCCCCTGGCCCGTCTCCCACCACCTCAAATACCTGGCTCAGATGCAGGCCGAAGAGCCCATCCCTGAGGCTGGTGACTGACACCGCAGCCACGCTGTCCAGCCCTATGACAATTTTGGCCTGGGACTGCTTGGTGTCGGTGAGAATCAAATGCCCCTTGGTCAGGAGGAGAATCCGAGAAGAAGTCTAGGCATGGAACGGGAAGAGTGAGGAAAGGCAGGACCAACCAACCCCAGCCAACCCGCACCGGACCGGGCAAGCGCACTCGGCCCAGCTTGGGCCTTCCAGCCGCCTGCCTGGTGAAGTCGGCTTGAAGGCCTTTACCTTGCCGTTGCCACGATTGACCTTCCTCACGGTCTCTGCCATCAGAATCGGCCCCTCCTCCCGGCCCCTCAGCTTCTGCAGCTTGGGGTTCCCCTGCAGCCCGATGTAGTCGCCGCGGAATGGAATGGGGACGCTGAGGGCACAGGAGCGGGGTGCAATGCAAACCCAACCCTAAACCACCCCCTCCCCAAGAGCCCCCCTCTTCATCCTCCTCCCCGTTCAGCACCGCAGCCTGTGTGTCCAGGGGTTGTGGCATGTGGGCCAGCACTGACAACACCAGCACCACCTGGCCCTGCCCCCCAATAGCCCTGCCGAGTCAGAGACAGAGAAGGCGAGGCCTTGGGGTGTGGACAGCATGCCAGGTGGCTCTGGTGCCAATTCCAGGCTGCCAGCTGCTGCTCGCTGGGGCCGGCTGTGGCGGGCAGGAGGGGGCCTCACCTCTGGGCGTACGAAGCCTTGTTGTCCTTGAACAGCTCGCTGGCACACAGCTTCTCCCGCAGCATCTCCACCTGCTTAGGGGACAGCTGATCCCGGAACTTCTTGCACTGTGAGGATCGGGGACAGGAGCTGGGATCAAGGCAGGGCTCGGGAGAGAGGTGGGAGGGGCAGACTTGGGACACTGGGGGGCGGGGTGGGCAAGCTACTAGGGAGGAGGGCTGCCAGTGGGGGCTGCTGTGGGGAGAGAGGCAGGCAAAGATGAGGCACCACATGGCACCCGGGGCAAGGCCTCGTCCTAGACAGGCACTCACCAAGCGTTTCCTGAATCCAAGAGCAAACAACACTACGCTAAGTGAGGGAAGTCAGACGCAAGGGGACAAATATCCAGTGGTGCCTGCTTGTATGCGGAACCCACAACACACCGGCAAACAGCAGCAGATTACAGGCTGCCAGGAGTCGGGGAGTGGTCATTTAGTGGGTCCTGAGTTTTCGAGTTGGGGTGACGGGGCACATGCGCGCAGGGTGGGGGGTGGAGGCAACTGCCCAGCCTTGTGAATGCACTCAACGTGCTAATTCTGCACGAAGTGGTTAAAATGGTCAACTGTCGGTTAGGTGCGCTTTACCTCGACTTAAAAAAGAGGGGGAAAAGTTGAAGTTGGGGGCGCGAGCGGAAACTCGGAGGGAGAATGGGAGGAACGCGTGAGGGGCGAGGCGCCGCCCGCTCACCTTCCACTGGTGGAAGAGCTGATGCAGCTGCTGGTTGGCCGGCTGGAAGTACCTGTAGGGGGCGGGCGGCCACCAGCTGTCCAGGACCTTGGTGGACGGCAGATTGCGCTTCAGCCCCAGGAGGAATTTCTGTGTCTGGGTTGGGGGCAAGGGGCATCGGGAGAGGTGTGGTGAGAAGAAGCCCCTCCTGGCAGGCAAATGCGCCCCCCCGCGTCCTGCCCCTGCAGGGGAGGGAGGACTCGGGCATTTGGCCTCGCACTTAAGATGCTGCCACTCCATATCAGAGTGCCGGGTTCAACGCCTGCCTCCACAACCCTGGAAAGCAGTGGTGATGGTTCAAGTAATCAGCTTCCTGTCACCCATGTGCGAGACCTAGACTGAGTTTCTGGTTCCCAGCGTTAGCTTTGGTCCAGCCCTGATTTTTGGGGGCATTGGGTAGTGACCCAGCAGATGGGAATATTTCCTCTCTCTCTCTCTCTCTCCCTCTCTCTCTCTCAGATAAATACATGTTTTACACAGAAAACGTTGGACACCAACGCTTTGGTGTAGCGGGTTAAGCTGCTGCCTAAGACACTGACATCCCATACGAGTGCTCCCTTGAGTTCTGGTTGTTCTGCTTCCAATCCAGCTCCCTGCTAACGGCCTGAGAAAAGCAACAAGTACTTGGGCTCCTGCTATCCAAGTGGGAAACCTGGAAGAAGCTCCTGGCTCCTGGCTTCAGCCTGGCCCAGCCTTGGCTGTTGCAGCTATCTGGGAAGTGAACCAGTGGATAGAAAATCTCTCTCTCTTTCTATCTCTCTGGAACTCTGACTTTCAAATAAATAAATCTTTAAAAAATATATATGGCAAAAAGAGTCAGAAGAGGGCCACAGCAAGAACAGTGAGTGGAGCTGAAGGAAGGCAGGGAGCCACCTCTGGATGACCCTCAGCGGGAAGAGTAGCTTGAGGGCGGCAGGTGTAGCAGGGACAGCAGAGGCGGGGAGAGAAGGATTAGCGGCAGCCTCCCAGAAGGAAAGCTGCTCTCAACTTTTGCTCCTGAAGCTTCCTGTGCTCTCAGCCCACAACGGCCGGCAGCTGGCGGCACCGACCCCACCTCCCCCGTGGTCAGTCAGGCCTCACACCTCAGCTTGTCATGCAGCGAACCCAGGACCCAGGGCTTTGCTCCAGGACACCAATCAGGCGGGACTGCTCATCGTGGCCGCTGCCCAGCCCACGCCTTTCCACTCTGTGCCTCAGCCCATGCTGCCCTCCACTCAGCTCTGCCCACCCGGATTCCACCCACCCGAGTCAAGCTCCTCGCACAGGAGCCCAGAGCATGAGTTTTTCCCCCTTCAATGCGTACTGGGGGTCTGCTCTGTGCCTGACACTGGGGGGTGGCAGGGAGCACTGCAGGAGAGGGTGGGCAGAGCTCAGAGCACAAGTGCACATGCACATACAATGTAATGCCAGACCCAGCTATCTGATTCGAAGCAAAGATGCAGGCCCTGAGGCGTGGTTGTATGGTAGAACATTCCAGAAACAAAGAAATCCAGTGTGGCTGGAGTAAATCAAGCAAGAGGAGGGAAGAACAGAGAGTTGATCGGAGCAGATGACAAAGGCCCTTAGGGGCTGAGGTCAGGACCCAGGCTCTCGCTCTAAGCTCAGTGGAGCGCCACTGGAGGGTTTGAGGCAGGTGCATGACCTGATCTAACTTAGGTGTTTTGTTTTTTTTTTTAATTTAATAGAGCTTATTTTTTGAGGCCTTTAAGCTTGCAGAGATGTTGGGAAAAGCAGCACAAGGGGTCTCTGCACATCATGGGCCCCTCATCTAAATGCTGATCATTTCCCGTCTGATGACGTTCGCACTGCAGACAGAGTTCGCGCTTTCCTGCTATGTAGCTGAGTCCTGTGATCTGATTTGCTCTTCTGCTCCTCCTGCATGCTCTCTCAATGTGTGCTCGCTCATGTGTGTGCCCTCTCCAGCACACACATGTATACATGCAGATACATGCTGCATACATGCATGCACATATATGTGAATCTTTGCTAGCGTGCCATGCATGGTAAAGCAGGTGATAGATATCATGACATTTCCCCCTCAAACTTCAGCATGCATCGCTCCAGAACTAGAACACTCTCTCACACAGTCATAACTGTCACCACACCTAAGAAAACCAACCAACGTACGGCAGATACACAGTCCACACACGAGTTTCTCCACCCGTCCTTGAAAAACTTCTGAGTGTGTCCTTTGTAGCTTCATTTTTATTTTTTCTGTTCCGGGACCTGATCAAGTCCATCCACGGCACCTGGCTATTTAGTCTCCTCCACTCTCGAACAACGACCCTCTTTGCATCCCAAAGAGCACCTACTGCCCTGCTTACTTACGACATAGGACTACTGAGGATGATGTCTTGATCTTTGGCATTTCCAAATTCCGGGAGTTTTTATGAAAGCATTTTACTAAGATATTGAGTCTTTAAATTTAATGGAGGGGGCTGGCGCTGTGGTGTAGTGGGTAAAGCTGCCGCCTGCAGTGCCGGCATCCCTTATGGGCGCCTGTTCAAATCCCGGCTGCTCCACTTCTGATCCAGCTTTCGGCTATGGCCTGGGAAAGCAGTAGGAGATGGCCCAAGTCCTTGGGCCCCTGCACCCACGTGGGAGACTGGGAAGAAGTTCCTGGCTCTGGATCAGCGCAGCTCCAGCTCTGGCCATTGAGGCCAATTGGGGAGTGAACTAGCGGATGGAAGACCTCTCTCTCTCTCTGCCTTCTCTCTCTGTGTAACTCTGACTTTCAAATAAATAAATAAAATCTTTAAATAAATAAATAACTTTAATAGAGGAGTCAGTGCTGTGGCATAGTGAATTAAGCCCCAACCTGGGGTGCAGGCATTCCATATGGGCTGCCCCACTTCTGCTCCAGCTCCCTGCTAATGTGCCTGGGAAGGCAGCGGAAGATGGCCCAAGTGTTTGGGCTCCTGCACCTATATGGGAGAACTGGAGGAAGCTCCTGGATCCTGGCTTTGGATTGGCTCAGCTCCGGCTGTTGGAGCCGTCTGGGGAGTAGACCAGCGGATGGAAGATCTCTCCCTCTTTCTCTCTCTCCCTTTCTGTCTGTAACTCTGCCTCGCAAATAAAGAAAATAAATATTTTTAAAAATGTAATAGATACACAATATGTTGCTGTAACTCTGCAGGACCAAGTTCTCTGCTGGGGAGAGGTGGGATCTATGAGATCTGGGCCAGGGGAGACTCCCTGGCCTTGGTCTGGTTTAATTCAACAAACTTTCCTGAGTGTCTCCCACAGTCTAGTCAGCACAGAGCCTCTGAGGGTTTTCTTATCTTCATGGTGTTTTTTTTTTTCTAGAACTATGCAGAACTTTCTAGAACTGTGCATACCATCTGCCCAGGTTGGTGGGCTGCCCAGGCCTCTGATAGGCAGGCAGTAGTTAAAAGCTCCAGAGTCAAACAGTTTGCACCCCAGCTCTACCACTTACCAGCTGTGGGGAGACCCTGGCCTGAGCCTTCGTGTCTCGCTTACAAAATGGGAAAGAAGTGAGTGGATCTCAAAGGACAGGAGCAAGGGCTGGAGCTCCAGCGTGCAAAGAGCTTGGCACACAGTGAGTGTTCAGAAGATGACGAGCACCAGCCTCAGTCACGGTCAAGGCCATGGCAAACCATGGACTAGTGAGAAACCCTGGGAGAGTCCAGGCCCAGCACACCCTGCATGCTTCGGAGGGGGTGTGGTTTACTAACCCCTGGGTCTAAACCCAGCAGCCCAGGCACTGACACTCAGCAGCTGCCTGGTCAGATCCCGGTGGGATGGAAAGCAGAAAACAGGCCAGGCTGGAGATAAGAGTAAGATCGGATCACAGGTCTCGGGTGTGCGGCAAGAGGCACGTACTCTGGGGAGGCCGAGACTCACTGCCTGAGCAAGAGCAGACCAGGCTGGGGTGGGGGGCCTGCGAGATGGCACTCCCTCAGGGAGGGGAGGAGGGGGACGAGACAGATGCTCAGGGAAGTAAAGCAAGGAAGAGCTGGAAGGCTCAGGCCTCCTACCCCTGCCTGCAGCAGCCGAGGGATCCAGCCTCTCTGTCGACACAGGGAGTGCATCCCCTGCCACAGAGGCATAGGCAGCACAGCCCCAACAGCTGCCACCAGACCGGCCTGCGGAGGCCAGCCTCTGTCCAGGATCTCCCCCTCTGGCCTTCTCCAGGGTTCCCCTGGGCGTGCTGCTTCCTCCCTGGCTCCCTGTGACACTTCTCAGGAGCACCACTGCTGTCTGGGCCACGGCCCTCCTCCACCTCTGCTTTTCTCCCACACGACGCTGCCCTCGGGGCGACTGCCCTCGGGGTCCTGGCGCCTGCCTGCCCCTCCTGCCCCGGGGTGGGCCCCCAGGATTAAGAGAGCTCCCTCCCGATCTAGATCTATTCTCCGGCTTGTCCAGTCCACCTTCCTGGGGGGTAGGAGATATGACTCCTATGCCCTCACCTCAACCCTAAAGAGGACCTTGGGAGGAGGAGCTGGTGAGCCCTCTGAGTGTTATGGTGAGACCGCCAAGCCTCTCCTAGTGTTGTCAAACACCCAGCCCAGTCCTCCCTGAGCCTCTTCACCTGTGGACCCTTTGCAGCCTCAAGGCTGCCTACAGCGTTCCCTCAAGCCAAAATGGAGTCTGCCTGTGCCCTGGGCCATGCCCTGCGAGACCCCACTGCTCTTTTCCTCGGCCTTAGGTACATGCAGACTGTGGGAGCTTGGAGGCGCTGCTTCTCAACCCCACATCTGCCGCTCGCACCCCTGTCCCTCCCCACTCCCACCCCAACACCCACCACTCACCATGCTCCTGTAGATGAAATTGGCCAAGGTGAGGCTGGCCCCTGATCGGAAATATTTTCGATAATTCTTGCGGGCCTGGCAGGGACATGCAAGAGAGGAGGCCAAGTGAAGACAGACAGACTCCAGGAAGGGTTCTGCTGTTTGCTCAACCACACCGAGAACAGGGCTGAGACCGTGGCAGTGAGGAGGGTGCTTGAAGCAGAAGGCACAGCTCGATACACCCAGACCTGCACGCAGACCCCTCTCCCCACAGGCAGCACCACCCCCTGCAGCCCCCAGGCACAGGTCACCCCACACGGGGATGGGCTGGGTAGGAGCGGCACTTCCGCCCCAGCAGCTGGCACAACCCTGGAGGGCCCACGTGTGGGGAGGAAGCCCCTCTCCCCTTCCCCATTACCTTCCACCCCCTCACAAAAGCCTGGATCAGCAACGTCGATGCCTTTAACTTCTCATAGCGCTTCTTTTGCTGTAGGAAACGCAGAGCTGTCAGGAGGCCCCCCACATCCTGCCTTCCCACCCACCCGGCACTCTAGGGGGTCACTGTACCATGTTGCCCCGAAACCAAGAGGAGATGAGGATCTGACTCTTGCGCATGAGCTGGTAGTGGGTGCGGCAGCGCCAGCCCCGGTACGTCTTCTGTATGAGCGTGGCCAGCTGCTGCAGGCGCAGGCGCCGCTGCTCTTCCAGGTAGAAAAGCTGCAGGAAGGGGCAGGGCAGCACTGGACTCGGAACAGGGCACAAGCTCGCTCGCTCTCTCGCTCTCTCTCACTCGCTCTCTCACTCTCTCTCACTCGCTCTCTCTCCCCCTGTCCCAGGCAGCGTCTTGCTCCATCTTTGCTTTCGCCCTCTCGGGTCATTCATCCACCCACCCCTTTCCTGAGCGTCTCCTGAGCTCTACCTCTGTGGCGCCACTGCACTGGGTGCTGGGAAGTGAGCCAGGAGCAGCCCACCACTCCAGCCTCAGGCAGGGTTGCGGCAGGAGGGTTCTGGGGGAGGCCACACGGCACACCTCGCCCCTGGGCAGCAGCGGCGTGGGGCCTGGGGAGCCAAGCACTAGGCTCTCAGGGAGACAGGCTTTGCAGCAAGGAGCCACCCTGGTCTCCCGCCCCATGCCTGGCTGTGGGCGCCTCTTCCCCTCCAGCCTCCTTCTCAGTGGACTCCTGACTCCCACACCCTCCAACTCACGGTCTTGGGGCTTCTGATGAAGATCTTGGTCTTCCCATAGGCCAGCTCCTGGGGCGACAGGTTCAGCTCCCCCAGCACCTTCTCAACTCCTTCCCTGCAGGGGGAAAGCCACAGGGAGCTCTCAGCAAAGTGTCCTCTCCCACCTTCCCCAGCCCCTTCTAGCCCCTGAGAAGGGATCCTTCAACACTTCCTCCCAGACGTTCCATCCACCAAGGCTTGGCAGATGCACATGGCGCCTGCGGGTCTCCACACTGCCCTCCCCCATCCACTGGGCCTTACCGGGCTCCTCCATTCCAGTGAGGCCAGGTGCTCTGGCTCAGCAGTCGGTACCTTTCCAGGAAGTGTGCATACACCTGGCGGTGGGCGTAGCCTGCCCGCCGCACCCGCACGTTCTCCATCAGGCCGAGGTACCGAGCCTGGGTGGCCACCAGCTCTGAGGAGAACCGCCCTCGCTGCTGGTGCTCATTGGGCTTTATGCACCTGTGCGAGAGGCAGGACACAGGCTTCAGGAGCTGACACCACCGCCAGTGGGGCTCACCCCGGTTTCTGCACACATCGCCCCAGATTCACTCACTACTGCGTGGTCCCCACCAAATCTGATATTCTTCCCACTGCAGGAGTCTCAGCTCCTTATCTGGCTTTGTGTTTTCTAATTTTGTTGGAAAGGCAGAGAGAGACCAAGAGAGATGAGCTTCCTCTTACTGGTTCACTCCCCAGATGCCTGCAACAGCGAGGACTGGACCAGGCTGAAGCCAGGAGCTTAGAACTCAATCCAGTCTCCCATGTGGAAGGGAGGGACCCAAGTACTTGAGCCATTACTGCTGCCTCCCAAGGTGCACAAGGGCAGGAAGCTGGAATTGGGAGTGAAGCCAAGACTCGAACCCAGGCCCTCTGATACAGGAAGCAGGCATCCCAAGCGGTGGCCTAACCACTGTGCCAAATCCCCACACCTTTTTGTTGGTTTTCAGAGCAAAAGGCCTGAAAATGAGATTACCACCCCCACCCCGCCATGGATGCATCCCATAGCACATGGGACTCCGCACAGACAGACCATCAGGCATATAGCGTGTTCCCTGTGTGCCCGGCTTGTCACCTGATGTAGTTGGGGTTCTTGGAATACAGGTTCTTCATGAGTATGGCCACGGAGCTCTTGAACTGGGCCCCAGCAGTTGGGGGGCGTTTCAGAGACGCTTGCTTGGGGTCACCCTCGGGAAACAAGGACCGCAGGAGGGGGTGCCGTGCCTTCCACATGGTCTGGGACAGGTCTCGGAAGAGTAGGTCATTGTTCTTGTCAATGAAGCTATTTACATTGTATGTCACCTGTGAAGGAGCAGCTGTTGGCGTGGAGACCCCATGGAGACCCCCACAGCCTGCTCCTACCACTTGCCCCTCCCAGTCTCATTAGAAAGCATTCCTGGCTCCTGCCTCCCTCGGTCCCTCCCCCGCTGGCTGTGGCCGGTGCCAGGCGCCCCGGCCCCTCCCCCGCAGCCCTGCCACCCTTGCTCTCACCTTCCCCGCATAGTGGCAGATGCGGAAGCAGCCGAGGCCCATGCTGCGGTCATACTGGTGCTGGGCATTCTGGGTGACTTTGCTCTCGTAGTGACTGTGGTTGCAGAAGAGCTGGTTCAGCTTCGCTAGGAAGGTGGAGTCGCTGACCACCCCGGGCCGCAGGCACTCCTCGTCCAGCATGGCCAGGATGCCGCGCTGATTCTGGACCAGGGAACAAGACCGGCTCAACCCGACCTGATCCTATGAGATATCCGTGTTCTCACAGCCGCTCGTCTGCCTCCTCTCGTCCTTTGCCCTCTACCATCCTTACCAAGCACAGGGCTGGGGGTGGGGGTGGGACGAGAGGCAGCGGGTGAATGTGCAGGCCGTATGGGAGAGAAAGGAACTCACATGCTCAATGAGGTTGCAGATGATGCCATTGTCGAAGTAGTCCACCTTCACCCACGGGATGCCCTGGCGGTGGAGAGGGGGCACATACAGATGACAGGGAGCAGGTCCGAGACAAAGACCTCACTAGCCCTGGCTTTTCGCTCACCACCCCCATCCCCAAGGAGCCTTCAGAAAGTTCCATTGTTCAGAGGGGTCCTTGGTATGGTTTTTCTGTATGGCCCCATCCCTCCAAGATTGGTGGAGAATTTGTGGAGTGGGTAGAGAGATACTCAGGAGAAGCCAGAGCGGCTGAGAGCAGGTGCAACAACACAGAGAGCCCTGGAGGTGGTGCAGAGCAGAGAGGGAGGCAGCATATGTTGGGTAGTTACGTGAGAGTGGAGAAGGATCCACTACTCCGGCAAGACACTACAAAATCAGAGCAGGAATGAGAGTTCAGCACCAAACAGCAGAGCGGATGTGACGCGTCTTCACAGAGCTGCAGCAGCAACTCTCAAAGCTGAGTGTGTTGGGGCCAGTGCTATGGCGCAGTGGGTTAAAGCCCTGGCCTGAAGCACCAGCATCCCATATGGATGCCAGTTCTAGTTCCGGCTGCTCTTCTACCAATCGAGCTCTCTGCCATGGCCTGGGAAAGCAGAAGAAGATGGCCCAAGTCCTTGGGCTCCTGTACCTATGTGGGAGACCTGGAAGAAGATCCTGCCTCTTGGCCTTGGATCGGCTCAGCTCCGGCCGTTGCGGCCATCTGGGAAATGAACCAGCGGATGGAAGACCTCTCTCTCTCTGTCTCTACCTCTTTCTGTAACTCTGTCTTCCAATAATAAATAATCTCAAAGATAGAAACAAGATGCTGGGTGTGCGACCAGTGACAGAGCCTAGTGAAGCACAGTTGGGTTCCCCACCCCTCAGCTTTCTGCCTCAGCAGGGTCAGAAAGATGTTGCATTTCCAGCATCTTCCTAGCTGCTGCTACCGCTGCTGCTGCTGGCCCAGGACCACACTTTAAGAGCCACTGACAGAGGCTGGCATTGTGGTGAGGCGGCCAGCATCCTGTATGAGCACCGGTTCCAGTCCCAGCTGATCCACTTTTTTTTTTTTTTTTTTTTTATATTTTTGACAGGCAGAGTGGACAGAGAGAGAGACAGAGAGAGAAAGGTCTTCCTTTGCTGTTGGTTCACCCTCCAATGGCCGCCGCTGCAGCCGGCGCACCGCGCTGATCCGATGGCAGGAGCCAGGATCCAGGTGCTTTTCCTGGTCTCCCATGGGGTGCAGGGCCCAAGCACCTGGGCCATCCTCCACTGCACTCCCTGGCCACAGCAGAGAGCTGGCCTGGAAGAGGAGCAACCGGGACAGAATCCGGTGCCCCGACCGGGACTAGAACCCGGTGTGCCGGCGCCGCAAGGTGGAGGATTAGCCTATTGAGCCACGGCGCCGGCCCTGATCCACTTTCAATCCAGCTCCTGCTACTGCACCTGGGAAAGCAGCAGAGGATGGATCAAGTGCTTGGGCCCCTGCACCCACACAAGAGACCATTGGCCATGTGCGGAGTAAACCAGTGGGTGGAAGTGTCTCTCTCCTTCCCCTTATCCCTCGCTCTGTAATTCTTCCTTTTAAAAAATAAAAAATAAAATCTTAAAAAAAAAGAGCTGCTTATGGTCGTGACCATTCACATTCTTTCAGAAGCAAGCAGGGGGCAAAAGCAGATGACTGCAAAACCACCATTCTCTCCTTACTTTCTGGGCCCTGGGCCTGCAGGCCGGACAGCACCTAACCCCGCCCAGGGCCAGACTCCCCCGCCTGAGGCCATGCCCAGGTGTGGCCGTGGGCCACAGGCCTTTTTGCCCTCCTCCCTCACGGGTCTTCAGAGAAAGAAGAATGAAATTAAATAAAGGAGCTTCCCACTTCCTCCTGAAAATACCTTGCCCAACCAATTAAAGGAACTATGGTGCCCTAAGAAACCTACGGAGCTGTGAAGGATTCTTTACAGAACCGGCTCCTGTGAAGTGATGAAAACAAGGTGCAGAACAGAGTATACTTATTGCCATTGGTATACACTCTGCGCAAGGAGCCTCGTCTGGGATACCTCCAGGTGGGGACAGGAACCGGTGAGAGGGAGCCCTTTTTTCAGACCCATCTTTTTAACCTCTTTGATCAATCAAATGATTAAAATAAAAATTTGTAAGAGCTAGCATCATAGATTAAGCTGCTGCCTGCAACACCTACATCCCATGTCGGAGTGCTGGTTTGATTCCAGGCCACTCGGCTTCCCACCCAGCTCCCTGCTAATGCGCCTGGGAAAGCAGCAGAAGATGGCCCAAGTGCTTGGGTCCCTACACCCACATGGGTGACCTGGATGGAGTTCTGGGCTCCTGGCTTCAGAGTGGCCCAGCCCTAGGTGTTGTGGACTTTTGGGGAGGGAACCAGCAAATGGAAGACTTCTCTTTATCTCTGTCTCTCCCTTTCTCTATCACTATACCTTTCAAAAATAAATAAATAAATCTTTAAAAAATGCAGAACAACTCCGAAAACCTTTTCCTAGACTCATGAGCATGTTGCTTCCAGTCCTGCCACAGCAGATGACCTTGCACTCACGAGGGGCCAGCCCTGGCAGAGGTGTGACGAGTGAGACCCACAGTTGGGCGGCTTTTGCAACACGTAGCCGCAGTCAGCAGGACAGCACGCAGACATTCAGAGCCGTGGGGCCCTTCTGGTGCGGAAGCCACCAGACCACCACACCAGGGGATCCAAGCATCAGTGGAGCCCGGAGGAGATGGAGGACTCCAGGATGCTGGAGCAGGGCCAGAAGAGGGAGGCGGTAGGGTGCCAAGCCCAGGAAGTGCCTCACCGTCTGCTGTGGCCCAAGCACAGCTGTCACTTCATTCCTCAGGACTCTGCACACGCCCCTGCCTGGCCTCGCCCAGGGGCTGGGGGGTGTGGAGAGCAGAAGACAGGGGCCCCTTAGGAAAGCTGGCTGTGCAGCTGTGCGAGGGAACCTTCTGTCCCTTGCATGCCGGGGGGGCGGGGGGGGGGACGATTTCGAGGCAGCTGTGATCCAGGGCAAAGCCAAGTCTGGCACGAGCCCAGTGTCATTTAAGGGAGGAGAGGTGGGGGAAGGCTTCGCTTACCTCTCTCTTATATTCCTCCTGCTCCTCTTTCAGGGTCATCTCTATGAACACCTGCTGTAGCTTCTCATTGCAGTAGTTGATCACAAACTGCTCAAAGCTATTATCCTGAGGGAGGGTACACAAGTTAGAGAGCGTGAGCGGCTCAGCCCAGGGCCACGCCACCCTCTCACGCCTCTACCTCTGACCCCAGGGAAGCAGGTGGCTGGAGTGCGCCGGGGCCCTCTCACCTCTAGTATCTCAAAGCCGTAGATATCCAGCACCCCCATGACCTTCTTCCTCTCCCCGGAGCCCACCTGAAGAGGAGGAAAAGGTAAGGCGGCGGCCAGGACCCCTCGGCACGTCGGGCCTGGCCCTTCCCGGGTGAGTGTTGTTGGGGCGGGGGTAAACAGAACGGCAGTGAGCTGGGCCAAGCTGCAAAGGGACGGCGATCTCATCCTCCTTCCACTCCCAGACGCTGGAGGATGAGCAACGAGGGAGGAAAGGAAAATGCAGACTCCAGCACGGCCTCCCGCCGTAGGAGGTGAGGAGGACTAAATCCTCTCTGGACGGATGTCTGGCGCAGTGGTTAAGAGGCCGCTTGGGATGCCTGTGTCCCATAGCAGAGTGCCTGGGCTTGAGTTCTGGCTCTGCTTCCCAGCCAGCTTCTAGCGAATGTACACCCTGGGAGGCAGCAGACGATGGCTCAAGTACGTAGGCCTGGGGCCAGCACTGTGGCATAGAGGGTAAAAGCTGCCACTTTCAGTGCCGGCATCCCATGTGAGCGCTGGTTTGGGTCCCGGCTGCTCTGCTTCTGATCCAGCTCTCTGCTATTGCCTGGGAAAGCAGTGGAGGACAGCCTAGGTCCTTGGGCCCCTGCACCCACGTGGGAGACCCGGAGGAGGCTCCTGGCTCCTGGCTTCAGATTGGCGCAGCTCTGGCTGTTGCGGCCTTTTGGGGAGTGAACCAGTGAATGGAGGACCTCTCTCTGACTCTCCTTCTCTCTCTGTATAACTATTTCAAGCAAATAAATGGATCTTAAAAAAAAAAAAAAAAAAGTACTTAGGCATGTGCCACCCACTTGGGAGATCCGGATGGAGTTCCTAACTCATGATTTCAGCTTGGCCCAACCCAGTTATTGAAGACATTTGAGGACTGAACCAAATAGGAGATCTCCCCCTGCCCCAACCCCGTTCTCTCTCTTACAAATAAATACAATTTTTAAAAATTTAAAATCCTCTGAGGATAATAACCATCCCTTATACTTTTTAAAAAGATTTTATTTACTTATTTAAATAGCAGAATGACAAAGACAGGGAGGGACAGACAAATAGAGAAAGAGGGAGAAAGACCTTCTATGTACTGGTTTACTCCCTAAATAGCTCAAGAGCCAGGTCTAGGCCAGGTCAAAGTCAGAGTCAAGAACTTCACCCTGGTCTCCCACATGGGTGGCAGGGGCCCAAGCAATTTGGCTGTCATGTTCTGTTGCTTCCCCAGGCTCATCAGCAAGAAGCAGAGCAGCCAGAACTTGAATCAGCTTCACAGGCAGCAGCTGAGCCCACTGCGTCCCCCACAACATAGGCCCTTCTACCATCTTTTATATTTGTAGAACATTGTATGCCAAAAAAAATCCAGGGGCCAGCACTGTGGGGAAGTGGGTTAAGCTGCTATTTGTAGCACTGGCATCCCATATGGGTACCAGTTTGAATCCTAGCTGCTCCATTTCCAATCCAGCTCCCTGCTAACGCACCTGGGAAGGCAGCAGAAGATGGCCCAAGTGCTTGGGCCCCTGTACACATGTGGGAGACCCAAGTGAAGCTCCTGGCTCCTGGCTTCAGCCATTGCAGCCATTTGGGGAATGAACCAGCAGATGGAAGACCTCTCTCTCTGTCTTCCCTCTCTCTGTAACTCTACCTTTCAAAGAAATAAAATCTTAAAAAAAAAAAAAAAATTCCAACTCCTTCTTTAGTTGAGCCATATCTTAACCTTATAAGATACTCGTATTCTCATTTTACAGATGCAAGGATTTACAGACGCAAATGAGGGCTCAGCATCTCGCCAGGCCTACACTGACGTCCTGCTGCCCTCCAATATAGCTTCTACATGATGGCACTTTCCCAACGGTAATCATTGATCACAACTTGTGGAACAGAATTCGCATATGATGCACAACTTGGTGACGTTTTAGTACATTCAAAAAATTGTACAGCTCTCACCACCACCTAATTCCAGGGCATTTTCATTGCCAAAAGAGAAATCCTGTACCCATCAGTAGCCACTCCCATCCTCCGTGCCCCCAGCCCCCATCTGCTAATGTTTCATCTCTAGGGATTCGCCTGTGTGGGGCATTTCATAGAAATGGAATCATAAACCAATCTCCTGGGACTGGCTCGTTCACAACGATGTTGTCCAGGTTGTCCAGGAATGCAGTGTGTACCAGTACTGCATTCGTTTTCACGGCCAGGTAACGTCCTGCTGTACGGACGCATAAACTGTGTTTGGTTTATCTGTGCGTCAGCCGACATGCATTTAGGTTGTCACTACTTCCGGGCTCTCATGAACAGTGCCTTGATGAGCACTCACGTACAGCTTTTTGTTAAGGGCATCTGTTTTCAGTCCTCTCAGATGTGTGTCTAGGAGCAGAACTGCTGGATCGCACAGTAACCACATACATAATTTTATCCAGTCCTCATTAAATGCCGGGGAGCAGGTGGGCACCTGCGTGGATGTTTCTGGATCAGGGAAGTGAGGTTCAGGGTCTTTGTGAAACCAAAAGGCCACAGGGCTGGCGAGTGGGATCCACAGCACCTGACTCAGACCCCGTGGTGTCTGCACCACGCTGCACTGGTGGAAGGGACGTGGCGCCCACCTCTGCGTCCTGCTCACCGCTGTCATCTCAGAGCCCAGGGCTGGAGCCCAGGGCAGGGCACGCTGAGAGAGGAGGACGGTTGCTCACCTTGATGCTCTCGTTGATGCGGTTCACGATCCAATTGAAGAGGCGGCTGTAGATGTTCTTAGCAAGAGCGTCGCGCGCATACTGAGCCTGCAGGGCGGGCCCAGAGGTTAGTGGCGCAGCCAGGTGACGGGCTCCCGAGCAGCCCCTCCAGGAGGGCCCCTTACCTGGGTGACATTCAGGGCTGTGGTAACCTTTTCTCTGCTGGTTTCCATGGTCCTGGAGCACAGAGCTCTCTCCAGCGCCGCTGAATCCAGACTCACCATCTCCCCAATCTCCCGGACACCTGCGGTAGGGAGGCAATGCCGCGTGGCCCGGGAGGGTCTTGCTCTCAGGGAGGAAGGAGACTTCCGGGGAGCCTGGGGTCCCCCCCCAGGACGTGGCCCTAGAGTAAGTACTGGGGGAGTGGGGGCAGGCGGGAGAGGGGTCTGGGCACTTTGCGAGCATTCACTACTTTAATGCCACAATCTCCTGAAATAGCTGTGACTGTCCCCACTTGGCAGAACGATCAACTGAGACTCCGAAGCATCCCAGAGCTTGGTCTATCAAACTTCAGTGTTTGGTTCCGATATCCTCGTCAGGAGCTCTCAGTGAGTCTGTTCGGGAAGGGCTCAAGACGGGGCTGAAGCCACGACACTGGAGATGGCGGCAGGCCGGGGGTCCCAGCAGGGGAATCAGGGCCGGGGTGCTGCAAACCTCTCCCATCACGGATGCCGCTGGCTGGAATCCCGTTGGCCTGGAACTCGTCTGTCAGCTCCACGTTCCCCAGCTTCAGCACCAGAGCCGTCACTTCGAGCACCTGTCGGATCTCCTCCTCCGAGAACCCGATCACCGTCATTGCACTCTTGGGGAGAAATCAGAAATCAGCGGCAGAACTGGTGGTGCCCGCCCAGGGCCTCCAGCCTCAAAGCCAGGCCTAAGGGCACCCACCCGCACAGCACTGAAGTTGGAGGCGTCGTCCATGCCCCCTACTCTGGATGCTTCCTGGTTCAGATAGGTGTAGCCACTCGTGTCCCGCTGCAGCTTCAGGGCCTCTGCGAGGGCCGGCGAGGGGGAGCAGCGTCAGTAGCTGGCTCCCCAGAGCCCTCCAGCTTTGACCCCGCGCAGCCCTTGTCCTTGGTGGGCGCTATCATGTATTCACAGGGGTCAGTTTTGGCTGGGGTTTCTTCTCCTGCCTCTTTTATTTGGGGACCATTAATTCCTGGGGTGCCAGACTAAGGTTTTAAAAAGTAATTAGGGTCTGGGAGTTCATACTTGAGTTTTCTGCCCCCACCAACTATCATGAAAGTAAAGCCTCATTCCTCCCTTCTTCCTGACCGCAGGGTTCTACACAACCCAAACAAGGGAGCGGAACCCCCCTCCCCAGCCCTCAGGGTCTCTGGGAGGAGGAGGGAAAGAAACAGGAATAGAGGTCCCCCACACACCCAGCCTCCACGCCGCACCCTCGGCCTGGGCTGCACTGTCCGTTACTTGCTCACTGATCACCAGCACAGTGCTCGCTAGCTCTCTCTCTCTCTCATACAATTTTTAAATGTAGGAAATCGGGTGAGGCACACGTAGACCCAGGACAGCTTCAACTGGAGCTCGCAGAAAGCTCTTAAGCACTCACAACATGCTGCCCGCTTCCCTGCTTGACTCTCAATAAAGCCCCGCAAGCTGGGAGAGGAAGACTGGCAGATGGGGCTGTGTGTTCCAGGTCGGAAGCCAGCAGGGGGAAGGAGGACCCCCGGCCAGGCAGAGGGACGCGAGCCGTGAAGAGGCAGGAAGCTGGAGCCCGGCAATAATTCCCCAGACAAGGAGCAGCACCCAGGGCCCAGGGGGATTTGTTCCAACAGTGGGCGGGTGACGCGGTTCAGGGTGGAGAATGCAGGCGAGAAGGGGAAAGGGACACAGAGATGGTGGTCCGGGGACGCTTCGCCAGGGGGCCGGGGGCACGCACATACCCAGCAGCTGCGCGTCTGCTCCGGCCAGGAGCTGATAGAAGATGTGGAAGTTCCTCTCGCCTTGGAGCTGCCTCACCACTCGCGACTTCTCCAGCAGGTCTGGTGGAAATCAGAGTGTAAGCTTGTGAGGGCGCGACGCCACCGCGGGCCGGGCAGGAGGGAGAGAGGTGGTGAGCCGGGTGGCCCAGGCACGTACAGTTGGTGATGACACCGCCCAGTGGGGAGCCCTTGAAGTCAAACTCAATGTCCATGTATTTTCCCTGCAGAGAGAGACGGGACGAAACCTCAGCTCGCCTTCCTCCCACCACTGCGGCCATCGGGAGGGCTTTGCACTGCCTTCCTCCCTCTCCAGCCCCACGTGCTCGCCTCCCCAGCGGACGCCCCTCACTCACAAACCGCGAGGAGTTGTTGTTGCGAATCGTCTTGGCGTTGCCAAAAGCTGCGGAGAGGAGGAGGGGCAGTGAGGGGGTGAGGGGAGAAGGGGAGTCCGGGAAAGGAGAGCAGGGGTCTGGGGGCTCTGGGGCGGGCGCAGACTCCTCACCCTCCAGCACTGGGTTCGACTGCAGCAGCTGCTCCTTTACAGAGTTCACCTGCTCCCCTTTCCCGCAGACAGCCGCCACATAGGACATCACCAGCTTGCTGGCCTCTGTGTGTGGGGAAACCCTCCGGTGAATCCCCGCCCCCACCCCACCCAGTGAGACAAACAGGGGACTTCGGGGCTTGGGGGAGAGGTGGGTCAGGGCTAGGCCTGGCAGGGAAAGAGAGGAGGTGGTTCCGGAGGTGACCCCAGGGTGCCTCCCTCCTGCCAGGCGCCTCACCAGTCTTCCCAGCTCCACTCTCGCCCGTGATGAGAATACACTGGTCTCGGTCCCGGTCCCTCAGAGACTGGTAGGCCACATTTGCCAGTGCGTAGCTTTGGGGGAGCAAGTGAATAGGGACCAGTGTGGCGCCAGCCTAGGACCCTGGCCTTCCCTCAATCCCCACCCACAGGGCTCATTCACCCGCCCCAAGTGGGCCAAACAAGGCAAGAGGTGACAGGCCTAGGGAGGGGCCACTGAGAACCCCCTTCAGGGGCAGGGACAGAAGAGATTAGGAGGCTCCCTGTCTCCCAGCGGGGCCCCAGCAGCCTCCCCTGGCCCCTCAGCTCACATGTGGGGCTTCAGCTCATAGAAGGTGTAGTCCTGGTACTTGGCAATGAACTCCGGGCCGTAGATGGGCAGCTGCTGGTAAGGATTCACTGAGATCACTACGTTCCCGATGTAGGTCTGGAGCCAGGAAGGAGGAAGAGGGAATGAGGCGGGGGTGGGGGTGGGGGTCCGGGACCCCTTGGGGCACACGCACAGTGGGGCACCCATGCTGCACTCACATAAATCTCCTTGTGCTCATAGCGAAGCTGAAGGTTCCTGAGCAGGGACTCTTCCTCCAGTGGTTCCAGGAGGACGAGGTCCTCCACCCCCACGGAACCTTCCAGCAGAGGCATGGCCCAAGGGGCTGCAGACCCTGTGAGCAATGGGGGAGGAGGGTGGCGCTGTGTGCTGGTGTCTGCTCCATGCCAGGGGGCCAGTGACTGCCTGAGGGGCAGCACTCAGGAGGATGGGAGAGAGCTCTCCCTGCGCTGGCCTTGGGGAGTCCCCGGCCTGGCCTGTGCTTGCAAGCTTTGCTGAAACTCTGTGAGGCCGGCAGTGGAATCCTCGGCTCCCTGGGTGGGTTTGGTGGGAGTGGGGTGGGGCTGGGGCAGCACCACCTGCCTCTGCCCACTAAGGAAGGCACCTGGGGAGCAGAGTAAGTGCTGGGGAGGAAGGCATAAGCCAAGCTTTGTGCTACAGCCAGGTAGGGGAAGCGCTCTCGCCTTGCACCAAGGGCCTGGCCAGTGCCAACTCTCTGCTCCCAGTGCTCATTCCCAAGCCCCTGCCTCTCACAGGCCCCTGACCATCACCCAACCCGTCCAGGCCTATGTCAGACGTTCTCCCACTATCTCTCCTCCCCTGTCATTGTCACAGGGAGCTGCATGTTTAAGTTGGGGAGTGGATGAGGCAACAAACAGGGAGGCACAGGAGCCCTCCAAGAAAGACAGAAAATGAGAGAGAAGGGAGCACTGTGGCGTAGTGGGTTAAGCTGCCACCTGCAGTGCTGGCATCCCATAGGGCACCATTCAAGTCCCAGCTGCTCCACCTCCGATCCAGCTCTCTGCTATGGCCTGGGAAAGCAGTTTGGGCCCCTGCACTTGCGTGGGAGACTGGGAGGAAGCTCCTGGCTCCTGACTTCGGATCGGCCCAGCTCTGGCCGTTGCAGCCATTTGTGGGGGGGAGGGATGTGAGCCAGAAGATGGAAGACCTCTCTCTCTCACTCACTCCAGCACCACCCCTCCCCAGCCTGTAACTCTGCATTTCAAATTAATTAATTTTAAAAATAAAGGAAATGAAAGCAGGACTGGACTGTCTTCCCAGGGTGGGCAGGAGTGCTGTGTCCCTGTTTCCCCGACTCCAGCTTTTATCCGCGTTCCCTTGTGCTTTGCATAGACTTTGTCCCAGACACACCCAGGCTTTTACCAGCAATGGGAGTGGGCCTGGCGGTACAGGGAGGGTCCCCACGCAGAAGGCACATGGCAGGTGCTTCCTCCCAGAGGAAGCCCAGCCCTCTGCAGTCTTCCCTGCGGGACAGAGCAGGCAGGGAGGCCAGGTGCAGGGCAGAATCATTAGTACAATGGTCAACGCCACTCCCAGCCAGGAACAGACACATCCTCCTACACCTCTGACCTGGGTGGGGCGGGCATGAAGCTGCAGTGAGAAGTGAGCAGGAGTCTCCTTCCTCCTGCTTTCCCCAGGTCCCAGTCACTTCCTAGAAGCACACAACTAAGGAAGCAATGAGAATAGCGACAGCAGCAGCCTCTCAAGTCACGCAGCATTTACCAAGGGCCAGCAGGGCTCTAGACACTGTGCACCTATGGGTTCATCTGATGCTCATGATATCCCCATAAAGGAGGCACTGTTAGTCTCTCATATTTCCCAGATGAAAAGAGAAAAGACTAAGACATTAGGAAACTGGGCAAGGAAGAGCGAGAAGCAGAAGGTGGGCTGGAGGAGGTTCTTCTTTGGGTTTGGAGTTGAGGGAAGTGGGAATGTGGCTGCATAGGGGTAGGGAAGGAGAAAAGGAGCCCCATACGGGCACCTTAAGGTGTGAGAGAGGAAGAGACAGGTCAAGACGAGACTCACCCAATGCTGGACCTAGGCTGTAACTTCAGTTTCCCCTGGAGACCCAGTGTGGCAGGAAGGGAGCACTGGCGTTCCAGGCCCCCAGGTGGAGAGGTGGCCGAGTTAGCAGGAGCTGTCCATGGTGTCGAGCTGGCTTTCCTCTTGCTGGTGTCCACTCCTCTGACCTTCTTCTGTGCTGCCTCCTCCAGCCCAGGCCCCTGTGCTGGCCACAGCAGGAGAGCAGAGGCCGAGAGGCTGCTCAGCTCAGCACAAAGTCCGAAGCTGTTTCTGCTGAGGGTGTGGCTCACTTAACCCTTCACAGGCCTCTGCCCCAGAGGGAGATGCAGGAACAGTGAACCTGGCCAGCCTTGCTGTTTGCAAATGCGAGCAGGAGGAATGGGATTTGTAGCCAGGGACAAGATTTTCCCCCAAGGAGTCAGGGATTTTTTTTTTTTTTTAGGAGGAAGACAGGTGGGGAGGTCTTTCTTAGCCACAAAACCCACCGTTCTCCCTTCAAGCCTACCCTGCCCATCTTCCTGGGAGTCAGAGGCATTCATGAGATTACTTGGGGAACTAAGCAGACAAAAATCTCCAAGTCCTTTCCACTCCCCTTCTCCCTCTGAACCAAACCCCATAAAGACCGGAAGATGAACATGCTTGGTAGGAACACCTCACATTGGCGTGGCGGTCCCGGGTTCTCAGGACGCCCACCTGAACCATCTCACCAGAGAGTGCCACCCTGCCAGAGGGGCGGTGCACACGCACCACAGAAAGAAAGTGAGAGCGAACGGCAGACTGTGGACCTGTGTGACAGGTCCACAGCGCCACAGCTAGTCCATGGCACAACCAGAGCACAGTGCAGCTTCCTGACCCTGAGCCTGACATGGGTTGCAGCCCCAGTGCTGGGGTTTCTAATTTTAAGCCTTCAGCACGAAGCTACTGAATAGACCCTGAGATGCTATTTCCTGGACATTAGCCCAGCAGGAACAGGCTCCCTCTGATAGTTAAAGAGCTCCTTATAAAGTCATATTTTTCCAGACTACCCCTCATCCACCCAGGAAAATCCCTAAGCAGCAGGCCCCCGCTGCCCATCATCCTCTATAGCAGGCATGCACAGGGAGCAAATGAGGTGATTACAGACGCTTAACTGAAACTGGAGGCTCGAGTCTCCTCTGCTAGCCACGGCTGCTTGGTCCAAGGTCCAAACTCTATTGCTCTCACAGAAGCACTCTGCATAAGCCGGGCCCATCAGCAGTTCCATTATCAACCCACCCTTACGTAATTTATTGATCTGCTCTATTTGAAGGAGGGGAAAGAAGGCAAAGCAAGAGAGAAAGAGAAAGCTAAGTTGAAGTGACATCAAAACACAGTCCCGTGTATAGGTGGGGCACTGCTACAGTGTCAGAAGCAGAAGTAACCGAAGTTCCACGGTTTTCCCATGCGAGAAACACTCAGTGAGAAACCCACTTCCCCAGGGCCATGCCACTGTGCCACTGCAATCCTAGCAGAGCTCTTGTGCTCTCTGGCCAGGAATCTACAGGCACAAGAGGCTTACCTGTGTGTCCATTCACTCACTAACCTGAGTGCCTACCATGTGCTACTCTCATGGGAAGTGACTATTAAAAAAAAAAAAAAAGAGAGAGAGAGAAAGAGAGAGAGAGAGAGAGAGAGATGGCAGGGACAGTATCATAGCTACTCCACTTCTGATCCACTTTCCTGCTAATGCACCTGGGAAGGTAACAGAAGATGACCCAATACTTGGGCCCCAGCCACCCAAGGATGCAGTTCTGGGTTCCTGGCTTCAGCCTGGCCCAGCCTTGGCTGTTGTGGCCATTTGGGGAGTGAATCAGTAGATAAAAGATTCCCTCTCTTTCTCCTGCCACTCTGCCATTCAAATAAAGAAAGATGGCAACCTCAGGCTTGAGTGTCACAGCTATGACAACCAACCTTGCTCACCTGCCTTTGTCCTGTGGTGGGAATTTGAGTGTTGAAGCCAGGAAAGTTCAGGGCAAAATGAAACCAGTGTGTCACCCTAAATTAACAAGGTATAAAATATATATCCAAGCTAGCTAGGATCTCAAGATCTATCAAACTACTCTTGGGGTAGAGAGGAAGGGATGGGTTTTGCATCACAATCTGCTTTTGACACAAAACTGAAGGAAACTGTACACTTAAAGTGGATCAATTTTATTGCATATAAATTACACTTCCATGCAGCTGGCCAGGAAAAGCAGCAACAGCTTTCACATCCTTTGGTGCTGGTTCCTGACAGAACTGGGAAGGCGGCATTCTGATTCACCAGTTCTCATTAATCCTCTCAGAAACATCAACTTCTAAACAGATGTTACACAATAAAAACAGAAGCTTTCAGACACAACGGGGGAGATGTTTGGCTCTTGTAAGTTACCTGGTGTTGGGGCTGGCGTTGTGGTGCAGCAGGTTAAGGCACTGCCTGCAGCTCCAGCATCCTATAACTTAGGGACAATTAGAGACCCAGTTATTCTGCTTCTGATCCAGCTTCCCTGGGAAGGCAGTGGAAGACAGCCTAAGTACTTGGGTCCCTGCCACCCATGTGGGAGACCTGGATGGAGTTTTGGCTCCTGGCCTCAGCATGGCTGACCTGGCTGTTGCGGCCATTTGGGGAGTAAACTAGCAGATGGAAAATCTCTCTCCCCCTCTGTTGCCTTTTTAAATAAATAAATCCTTTTAAAAATTTGCTGCCAATTAGTAACATTTATCAAGTACTCAACTGCACAGTGGGCAGTAAGTCAAGGGCTTTTACATCGTTGCTATCCAAAATGAGGCCCACAGCCCAGCAGCAGGGGAATCACCTGGGAACTGACTAGAAAGCACAACCTCGGGTACTGCTGCCGGACAGCCAGCGCTGCGCTTGAACAAGGCCCTGATGATTCTCGCGTGCGTTAAAGGATGCGGAAACTGCTTTCACTTCTTGTCTGCCTTCACCAAAATCCTGTAATGCAGCATACTCCACAATTATGCTTCTTAAGTTTTTATTAATTCAACCATTATTGACCACCATCTATGTCTAATTAACCTAATATTGGGCTGGCGTTGTGGCACAGTGGGTTAAGCTACCACTTGCAATGCTGGCATCCCCTATCAGGGTGCCAGTTCAAGCCCCAGTTACTCTACTTCTGATCCAGCTTCCTACTAATGCACCTGGGAAGGCAGCAGAGGATGGCTCAAGTGCTTTGAGTCCCTGGCTTCAGCCTGGATCAGACCTGGCTGTTGCAGTCATTTGGGACATGAATCAGAAGATGGAAGATCTGTCACTCTACCTTTCAAATAAATAATTCTTTTTTAAAAATTTATTTACCTAGTAGTTATAGAAGGAAAATGAGAAAAGATGTCATTAGTGTATATTAATCTACATAGTTACACATGGTCTACATTGTTTTTGCTAACTCTTTTTAAAAAATGGACAATGGATTTTCATGTAATCTAAATAAAACAAGTACAGAATTAATACAAATGCTAGAAATAGCCAATACACACACACACAAAAAATGAAAGGTACCAGATATCTACTGCAGAAGCTGGGCATAGACAGAATCAAAATTTTTTCTCCTAATGTGTATTTATGTATTCAAAAGGCAGAGTGAGTAAGCGAGCTTCCGTACACTGCTTCATCCCCTAAATGCCTGCAACAGTCAGGACCGAGGCTGAAGCTAGGAACTGGGAACTCAATCCAGGTCTCCCACGTAGGTGGCAGGGGCCCAAGTACTTCAGCCTCCACCGGCTGCCTCCAAGGGTGTGCCTGAGCAGGGAGCTGACTCCATCCCAGGACTCCAGTATGGGATGTGGGTATCCGGCAGCTTAACCCACTGCATCACAACACCAGGCCCCATCACTGAGGTTTGTATTCTATGCCCCCCACTCCCAATGCTCACCACAGCCCTGCTTCTTCCTCAAGTACACAGGGCTCTCTGTGGGTACCCATAGCTGGATCCCTGGGTCTTCCCCCAATCCCAGTGGAGAAACAAGACATACTTTGTGTCACAGAGAGAAAAGAACTAAAGCACAAGCAGAGTAGCTCCTTGGACCAGGAGTAACCTTGTTTTTCTGCTTCTGAGACAGCACAGTGGTACAACTAAGTTACTCCTGCAAGAGTACCTTGTAGAGATCCAGCCCCCTAGGATGCATCCCATCCACGCACAGAAGTGGAAGGGAGATGCAGGATGAGGAGCTGATTAAGAAACACAGGGATGGGGCGGCACTGTGTTGTAGTAGGTTATGACTCTGCCTGTGGTGCCAGCACCCCATACGGGTGCCAGATTGTGTCCCAGCTTCTCTTCTGCTTCACCTCTTTGCTATGGCCTGGGAAAGCAGCAGAGGATGGCCCAAGTACTTGGGCCCCTGCACCCACATGGGAGACCTGGACGAAACTCCTGGCTCCTGGCTTCATCCTGGCCCACCCCTGGCTGTTGCAGTCATCTGGGGAGTCAACCAATGGATGGAAGACACCTTTCTGTTTATTCCTCTAACTCTGCCTCTCAAATAAATAACTTTTTTAAAAGTTATTTTATCTATTTGACAGGCAGAGTTAAAGAGAGAGGTAGAGACAGAGAGAGAGGTCTTTTATCCACTGGTTCACTACCCAGATGGCCGCAACAGCCAGAGCTGTGCCGATCTGAAGCAAGGAGCCAGGAGCTTTTTGTGGGTCTGTCACATGGGTGCAGGGGCCCAAGGACTTGGGCCATCTTCTACTGCTTTCCCGGGCCATAGCAGAGCTGGATTGGAAGAGGAGCAGCCGGGACTAGAACCGGCACCCATATGGGATGCCAGCGCTTCAGGCCAGGGCATTAACCTGCTGCACCACAGTGCCAGCCCCTAAATAAATAAATTTTTTAACGAAAAAAAATGCTGCCCTTCGGAGAGGAGAGGAGAGGAGAGGCAGAGGAATGAGATTTCATTGGAGGGGAGGGGAGGGGAGGGGAGGGGAGGAAAACAGGGACATCAGCATCATGCAAAACCACTGCATGCGAAGGAGCAAACAGGTATGTATGGCTGATTACCTGTTACCTCAGAGATCAGAACAGGGAAAGCACACATGCAGAAGGAGAGACCACCATGTACTGTCTAAAAAACTTTATTAAAATTGGGATTATTTATAAACTATACAATAAAAATGAAAAAATACAAAAGTTGGTTTTTTTTTTCTTACATAAAAGAAGGTGAAAATGAGACCCATGGCAAAGAGCCATCCCTGATAATTTTCTTTCAGACATCTGTGGACATTTATTTTAAATATAAATGACAAATCTTTTATTTAAATAACACTAAGGCGTTACCCACAGGCTAAAATTTCCTATTTCCTTAGCCCTGTTATTTCAACACCAATTCCATAAACACAGAAAGCTGTGGCAACTGCAGGAGCTAACAGCTGAGTGCTGCTCTCGCTGTAGGCAAGTCTGGAGAAAGCGGCTTCTCCATCTTCAAGTTATCAAGGGTGTGAACAAGAAAGATGACACACTCGGGGTGGCAGGGAGCGTCCAGAGCCCCACATGTGGGCTCTGTGTGATCGATCACTCCCACCCCAGCTACAGCTGCAAGCTGACACTGGCATGGATCTGCTGTTGATTCCCAGCAGGCTCTGGCTCCTGTCATGTAAGGCACCAAGCATCCTTTTCAAAGTAGTAACTGTCTAGAATCCAATTCAACAGCAACCTGAACCCACAGACCAAGTCACCAAAAGACACCTCTGGGTCACACAATTGCACAAGTTCCCCTGGAAAAGAGAAATCAATTCTGTCACATGGAAACGGAAGCAAAAGGCTGGGGTGCGTTTCTCTTGTGCGATGGCTATTTCATCTGTTACGTGCCTTCACTGCCTACAGCACTGAGGGCACAGTAAATCTGTCAAGCTGTCCTCTCCTTGGTCCTGACAAAATCCTTGCATTTCAGTATAGGTATTATCTCGTATGTCAGATCTGACTCCACAGGAATACTACAAGGGCATTTCACTTTCTTCTTACTTCATCTTTCATTGCTCAGTTCAGAGGAGAGTCCCGAGTACGCGGCTAGGAGCCATTTTTCTGCAGGCATCCCTCTGAGCCCATCTTTTCTCCTGCAACAATAGTAAGGTTGACGGCAACTACATAACCCCCTTGTGGGCGGCTCTTAGGAGCTGGGTGCCGACCCGGCTTACCTGGGCCGGCTCATTTATCAAACCACTGTCCCCTGTGCCAAGTGGGAACGAGGCTGAAGGGAGCAGTCAGTGAAGAGAGGGCTGGCCCGAGAGAGGGATGCACTAACACAGGATGGAACAGAAGGGGTCCAAAGAGCTTTCAGCAGCCAAATTCCCTTTGTAACAGACACAAAAGTCATGAGGGGGCAGGGGAGAGACAGGAGAGAAATTATCTGGTTTTGATAGGAGGCAGTGGTGGGCAGAATTTACTAGAAGGAATCAAAGTTGATAATTTCCCCGGTTTTCAGCCCTGTGTCTTTAGTTCCCTGCAAGCAATGTGAGGGGGGAAGTAAGAGGGACCTGCTTGGGGCCAGGTGCCTCCTGGCGTCTCATTAATGGGAGCTGGGGGTGGGAACAGGAGAGGAGATAGATTTCCAATGCTGATGAGACCCTGAGTCCTGGAGCCAATTTACGGCTTGATACTTGCCAAGCAAGACGCTGACATGGCGGCAGACATGGCTCCGATGTCCAGCTCACCTCCCCCCATCCCGTCAATCCCTGCTGATGAGATGGGTCTGAGAGCTGAGGCTGTGCTGAAATTGCAAGAGCTGTAACCGCCTGAGAAAATTAAACGGGAGCTTCAAGTAGTGACCGAGCCAGCAGCCTAAGTGGTCGGGAGGAGGATGAGAGCCGCTCCACAGGCTTCCAGCCCGGCAGTCTCCGGGCAGCGGGAGCTCCGAAGCACGTGGGCAGAGGCGTGCGGCAGGCAGGCCGAGGACATGTGGCTCACCAAGGTGGCCCGGCCTTCACTGTCTGAGGGCCTATCCTGCCACGGGCCACACTCTCATCTCCACTGTCTGCAGCTTGGTCCTCTAACCTCCACGCTGGGAGGAATGTGATCACACCAAGTTCAAACAGAGAAAAAACCTGGTGTTGAGACGGCAACTGTCTCTCACAAGGCATTTACTAAACCCAGAGACGACACTTTCCCTGCTTCACAGCTTCTCACAGAAATGACAGCAAAGGCATCCCAGGGCTGAGCTACCACCCCTGATGCAGCCCCCTGGGGAAGGCACCAAGTCTCCAGGGAGTCCTGAGACCTCATACACAGCTCAATGATTTTTTTCAAATCTACTCATATTCACATAAGCAAAGTCCTGATCTCTATAAACAGAGTGAAGAATAGTCAGAGACTTTAATAGTTCTTTGTATCAGAGTAAAATTTTACCCTGTACATAATTCACAAAGGTATAAAGGTTTCCCAATACAAAGTCCCGCCACTTTCACTCCTATCATTTGCCTAGATACTGCTCACTCTCCATTTCTGACCATATTGTCTCTGCTATCAACTGAGGTAGTTGTCTCTTTGGGACAGTTTAAGGCTGTGGGAAACACTAGTGGAAACCATCAACCAGCCAGAAGTCTGTGCTAAATGGCATATGAAAGAGTCACTACAGCTTTCAAAACAAAATCACCTGCTCACTGCACGGTCACAGCAGCCCCCGCATCCAAGTCTATGCACCTGCCATGACGCCCATCTTCCTAGCTGAAGCAGTGACAGCCAGTTTCAAACTTTGAGGGTGAAGAGCACAAAGAAAGACCCAAGCAAATGACTGATACATAGGAATGTGCTCCCTCATAGAGCACACTGCTGGGCGATACGGGTATTTCACAGTGGCAAAAGAATCTAGAACTAACACCACTGTCATTAAAGGCAGCATGGACCTCTGGTCAGAAACAGCCTGCGAGCCAGTGTGACAAGTTCACAGGAAAACGTGTCCACTCCTCAAGAGAACCTGGAGGTCTCTGCTGGCAGCACCCGCTGTGGTAGTCCCACAGCTGCCAGCTGCACATAGCAACCTTGCCAGAGAGGCTGACAACTCACAGACAAGCCAGATCCCGGGGAGAACAGGTGTCAGCAACGTCTGAAAGGAATGAGTACACAAAGGAGGGGCAAAGGAAACAGAGACACTTTCTTGATTTCCATGGGATCCAACGGCAGGAAAAATGGAAAACCTGCAAAAAGCATGGGAGCCCCTACACAACACTGTCTCCCAGCTGGCAGGGGAGATGTCCTAAGGCGAGGGAAGGGGCTGAAGAGAGGAAGCGCTGAGTTGAGCACAGCGCGCAGCTTGGGGAACAGTCCTGCCTGCAGGGGCACAGCGGGCCGCGGAGAGAGGGCAGGGAGGAGCACCAATGTTCTAAGATGCAGTCGCAAGTCAGATATAATAAAATCCCGAGACCTCCCCGCCAGACGAAGCTCTAGGCCTATTCCTAAAGGCAAGCAGGACTTAGAAGCTCCTCTGTCTAAGAATTCACCCTCGTGCGGCTTCTTATAACCTGCATTCATACACAGGTACCGGCCTGTAGGGCTTGTCACGCTGGAGCACTTGCTGGCTCTGGAACATGAATGTGTTATATTTTTTTAAAAACATATTCACTTTAAAAATAAGACAGACAAAAATTCATTTTCCTCTCCAAACAGCCAATTCAAGGATTATGTCAGTCACTGAAATGAGAGAAGGAAAGGAGGCTGAGACGCGTGTGCTCCCTCTGGGAGGTGCACTCCACGGTGGGCAAGCACGGCTGCTCCTGGAGGGCCACCTGCAGCGCCAGGACCGAGTGGCTGAATCAGCCTTCAGGGCGCTAGGGTGCTGTGCCGGCCGTGGCCAGCCAACTGCTCGGGAACACAGAGCAGGCTGACAGCTTCCTCCCACGGAGGCAAACCAGCATGGCGTTCATGGTCTTCCCCATCATCTGTCCTTAGGGATCCCACAGACAGACCACCACTGCCTGCACAGGGAGACCTGCAGGTCTCTCATTTTAGTGGGAACCTCTGCACATGACCTCACCCACTCTCAAAGGAGTGCAAGAACCACATGGCACAGGCAACACGAACCACTGAGGCTCCTGCGGGTGTACACAAATCACCATGCGCCACCTAGGTCAGGAAGCTGTTCTGTGTGAGAGCGGGCCACTGGGGCTCTGGGTTCTCCCCCTCTTCCTCAGAGGACGCCTCCTCATCCTGGGCAATGATGCTCCCCAATCCGTACTCCTGCTCGTGCACGGACACTTCATTTGGCGTGAGGTGGAAAGAGCCCTCCACGAAGTCAGCAAATCTGGAAAAGAAAAGAGAATGCTCATTAGGAATCTGCACTCTGTCCTTTCTGCTTTCCTTCCAAATAAAAACAAAGTGAACTGTTTAGTGTCCTCGCAGCTCCAATCATATGAAGTCTAGCCAAGATCCCTGTCCTTAACCTGGCAGGGAAGTAAACTAAAGCAAGAATGCAGGAGGAAAGGAAGGCTGGGCTCACGGGCCACCCCTGCACCTCCACCCTGCTTACCAAGCACCAACCTACCCTCTCAGCCACCGAGGTGCTAAGGTTCCCTTAGTCACCACAATTCCGATAAGAGAAGATTAAGGTGCACAACAGTTAGTCAAGTTTACAGCCCTATGCACTTTATGCGATCAGGATTCCAAATAGAAGCTTCAAATATTCATTGCTACAATTGCTCCCAACTGAAAAAGGAAAACTCAGAGAGCAGTGCAAATCTTTCAGAGGGGAATTGTATATGGCGTCTTCCCACCTCCATGTTATAATCAAAACTAGAGTAGATGGTTCCTTGAGGAAGCAGGAAAACAAAGGCCATGATCCATGCCTGTCTAGAAGTGTGACCTCTGGTAGAACTCAAGGTCATGGCCATCC